AAATCACAAATCTCAAAGCAGTTTGCAGAAAATAATTTTTTTTCACATTTTTTTCAGCCTGGAAAAGAGAAGGCTTCTGGATGACATAGCTGCTGCCTTCCGGTACTTGAAGGGAACTTAGAGGAAAGATGGAAGACCAGATTTACACGAGTGTGAAGTGACAGGACAAAGGGGAAGGGCTTTAAATTGACAGAAAGTAGGTTTAGATTAGATAGTAGAGAAAATTCTTTACTGTGAGGGTAGTGAGGCACAGGAATACTTGTCAGGTTGTCTAGAGAAGCTATGAATTCTCCATTCCTGAAGTGTTCAAGGACAGGTTGGATGGAGGGCGTTCTGAGCAACTTGGCCCCATGAGGGAAAATAAAAAAGTCTTTTCTGAGGGAAAAGAAAAGGTCTAGGTGAATGGTTTTGAAGGAAGCTGCTTAGGAGTATGTGGTGGAAACTGCTCCCTACATTTCCTGAGTGAAGAGAAGGGTACTGACATCTGACTCAGGTAAGAATAGTGCTCAGTGGATTGGCTTTGTCTAGTGTGGTCTGATGCAGTTTTTGCCCACACCGACAAGCAGTGAGATCAGTTTTGAGATTAAACTCTACCACAGGTGACAGTGGCTGAAAGAAGACAAAACTGAGCATCAAATGTGTTCCAGGAAGTGCCTGCACTCTGAGTCTGCTCTGGCCTCAGCACACACTGGGAAGAGCTATTCATAGCGTAAATTGAGAAACTCCAGCTTGTCATTAAGTGACAATGTTTGTCACTACACATGTCCAAGTCTCACTTGACCTCACCACCACCCACACAGCTCATTCAGTGTCTGCTGGTGTTTTGGTCTAGTGAACAGTATTTTTAGCACAGACTGTCAGATGCAGTTATGAGCCATCAGGCACCATATATGGCAGCAACTCTCACCTTAAAAATGCTTTTTTTAGAAAACAATGCTTGTCTGCTTTTCCCTAGGTAAAAGGAGCAGGAGTTTTGCTGCAGTGACCAACAGTAGTTCTTGTATAACACCTTGCATAAAGAAAACTGAATTACATCTGAGATCCTTGTACATAACATTTTAGAGCCCTCACTGAGGCTTCTGAAAACATCTTGTTTACACATCATCAAGCATGCCTGGTTTTCTGTGAGACACTAAGTGCTTACTGCCACTGCAAACCTGGCAGAGTGCATCTAGCCCTGCATCTCCACCCTGCACTGCGAACCTGTCCCGTACTCTTGTATTCATCAAATGTGGGGCATGATCCAGACTCACTTCCTCTAAAAGGACACATCCACAATGCCAGGCAGTATCACTGCTACTTTAAGTAGTTACAGTTTTGTAGTTTTCTGCACTCCCTATCACTTTTGTTACATTTACTGCCCAGTAAACAATAAAATCTAAGAAACAAAATTTTCTTGGACTGCTGTCATGAGATCCTTGGAAACACGTGTGCCTTTTAGAAAGAGAACATTTCCAGGAAACTGCCCAGCCTTGTGCCAGCAACAACTGTGTGCATCAGTCATCTTGTTCCCCTGAAGAAGTGGAACAGCAGTGCCAGCAGTGCTAGAGCAGCCTTTCCACACTTCTGCTTTGATCTAAGAGGAGAACTTTTGCAATCGGTTCAATCTCTGTGACCCAGTCAGTCCTTGGTGTTTCTTTTACAGCAGCCACCAAGACAACCAGTTTCCTGCTGCAGGAGCAAACCAGCCTCACCTCCACTAGACCATTTCCTGATGCCTGTCAAGTACCCAAAGAGTCACCACAGCTTAACATCTTCTCCAGCCTGTTTGGGAAAGAAAGAATGTTCAATCCCTCTAGATATGTACAAGCACTAGTGTGTGCCCAGAAAAATGCCAGACCCCTCCCAGAACACAGCTGCCAGCTTTCAGAGAAATCACTGGAGTTTGTGAGATGTGCAAAATGGTGTTGAGCAAGAATTTATACCTGCAAACAAAAATACAAATGTTTGCTTTGCTGCTCATGAATTCATAGTAGAAAGGAGCTCATGTGGAAATTTAATTTGTGCAAAATACCGTTTAAAAAAATCAACCATAAGTGTTTTGAGTTACACAGTGGAATAGAATTGTTGCTTTGTAAAACAGTGCAAGGTTTACAAATTTTCCATCACTATAAAAGACAATTTCCATAATTTTCCCACCGTTGTCACATTAGTCGTTGTTCTCAAGTGAATAAGGTGCCTGTAAGCATCATGACAGCAAAAACATCCCAATTAAACTGAATCTCTGGAGAGGTTGAGAGCAGTTCGGAAATTTGCCTGAAATGAAGAGAGTATATTTCTTCTCGTCTCACATCTGCTTAAGTCTTTACAGGCTTAAAGAAGAGGAAGGGGCATATTTGCTCCAGATAACTTCCCAGATGAACTGTTAAAAGCCTTCTCTCTGTCACAACATTAGCTAAAATGAGTAAGTAAAAGCTCCTGACGAACACGACAGGCTTCCGAGTCCACCGATTCCATTTGCTCGTATTCTTCCTCCGATTGTTCCATGTGTCCCGTGGCTGGTGCAGACCACACGTCCAGCCCATGCTGCAGGGAGATGTTATGAAGCACGCAGCAGGCCAGAATGATGTGGCTGGACTTCTCTGGAGAATACTGCAGGGTGCCTTTGGAGCCGTCGAGGCAGCGGAACCGCGACCGAATGGTTCTGAGGGTGCGCTCGATGACGTTGTGAGTGGCGGAATGGGCCATGTTGTAGCGGTACTCCGCAGGCGTCTCGGGAATGTGCAGAGGGGTCATCAGCCACGTCCGGAGCAAGAAGGAGCTGTCACCTGTGACCGTGGAAAGGAGCGGGACAGGTTACACACCTACAGTTGGCCACACAGTTCAGCCTGGCTTACTGGTACAGCAGATACAGAATAAGTTCTTCGTCTGGCTAAAAGAGAAGGCACGGAAGAAGTAACTCTGGTTTACAAATGTGACAAAGTAAAGGCATTCGGTTTTACACAAGAAGATTTTCCACAGAAGGGTTTTAAGAGAATTAATCTACTGCATAAAACAGGGGGAAACAGTTAGACTAGGGCAGTTCCTAGAATTAAAAATTGCATAATTCAGCATGGAAAGGTATAGAATACTGAAAGAAAGCTATTAACAGAATGACTGAAGATTAATACATACAATAATCAGACTGTAAAACAGATAGAAGTTAATGTTCTAAGCTTAGAACACTTAAACACAGAATAGAAGTTAATGTTCTAAGCTTCCAAGATAAGGGTAGTCCAAACTGAGTCATAAATCTCAAAGCAATTTGCAGGAAAGCAATTGAAAGTAAACATATCTCTCGTGCCCAGAGTAAGGAGGCAATATATAATTGACTTCTACTGAAAACAAGGATGAAAAGCTGACTTACCAAGTAGCCAGCCATCTTTATGTAGCTCAGTTTCAAACTGGCTTGTAAGGGCTGCCTGCTCTAACACCGTGCAGTCAGGCAGGCTGCCTGGCCAGTGCGTTTCAGCACTAAGGAGGACTCCTCTGGAATCACACACCATGAGGCAGTTCAGGGAATGGAGACCCTTTCGGTTCACATAGGACAGGTCCTCAGCATTTGGCGCTTTGATTGCCACGTGGGTGCAGTCAACCACCCCCAGCACTCCCGGCATTCCTGCCAGTGCATAAAAGTCATCCTTCAGGGTCTGTACAGTAGCTTCATCTTTAGGAAAGTGAATGAACTGTGAGGCTCTTTCCACCAGCGCCTCGGTTACATTGGCAACACAGCGGCTCATCGAGGCTTGGCTAATGCCCATAGCATCCCCCATGCGAGTCTGGAAGGAGCCAGAGGTATAGAAACCCAATGCAGCAAGGATTTGCGTCTCTGGACTGATGGCTCTGGATCGCTGTGTAGGGCGTGAGAGAGTGGCTCCCAGGAGATCCACCAGGTAGCAAATGAACTGTCGGGGAAAGCCGTACGTGGATACTAGATACTCATCCGTGACATCCTCCAGCTTGAAGCGATCCAAAGTCCTGTGTCCGCGGCCATAGAGCAAGAGGTCGCAGTCAAGAACCGCGATAGGTACGGCCATGGCTGAAGGCCAGGGGCGTCCCCTGGGGCTCCCCTCTGACAGGGCTTTCCCAGAGGCTTCACCTGCATAAAGCAAAAGAGGATACTCAGAACAGTTGTTAATGGTGAGCTCATCAGACTCCGTTACCATTTTCCTTTCAGTCTGATCATCCAGCTAACCTTTTAATTTTTATTTTTCTGCTTTTAAATACGAGGGCAGCCAGGTGGACTCACCGCGGAGCCCTCACCTCTGCGGGGCGCTGACAGGAATTTACCTCCCGCGGCGGAGAGGGAGCTGGAGCCGTCCCCAGTCACCCTCTCCGGGGCACGGCAGACACGAGCCGCGGGCAGCCTGGCGAGCGGTCTCGCAGCCCCGGCGGGCGCTGCCCTTGCCGGGCGCCCCACACCCCACGGGCCGCGCGACCTCCGCGGGAGCCGTCCCAGCCCTTACCGGCCCCGCGGCCGCTCCCAGGCCGTCCCCGCCGGTCCGGCCCCACATTCGCCGCGACAGATTCGCCACAGGCAAGGAGCTACCGGCGGGAGGGGCACCGGGCGCTGCCCCGCTTTTCTAGGCCTGGCGACATCTTGCCTCCCAGGACTGTGGGCTCAGAGCGCCGCGGGCGGGCGGGGAGCGGCGGCCGGCTGCGTGCGGAAAGCGCCGCTGCGGACACTCAGGCACCTCCCTTCTTCCCTCCCTTCCTCCTTCCTTCCTTCCCCCCCCCCCGCCCGCAGCGGATGAAAACAAACAGCGGCGATGGCGACGGCGATGACGGCGGCGCGGCGCAGCCCGCGGCTCTGAGGGCAGCGGTAGCCCCGGCCCGGCCCCCGCCGCTGGCCGCGCATCCCCGCCGGCGCTGACACTCGCGGCGAGACCCCCGGGCCGGGAACGAGGAGGAGAAGGGGTGCCAGCCGGAGCCCCGGAGCGGCTTCGGGGCTTGGAGGCGGCGGTCGCGGCCCCGGGGCCGCGGGGCTCTCCCCGTGCCCAGTCGGGGCGCGGAGGAGGCGCCGGGGCGCGGCGGCGGAGCGGGCCCCGCACGGGATGAGCCGCCGCGCCGCCAGCACTGCCGGCCCCGCGCAGGTACCGCGGCCCCCGCCGGGCAGGGCTGGAGCTCCGCGAGCCTGCGGGAGGCCCTTCCAGGGGAGGGGGCTGTGATGCGCGTCTTAAACCTTTGGCTGCGGCTTCGCGTCTCCGTTTTACTTTGCTTCGCTGCTCGCGGGGTTCGGTTCCCGACAGCCGCGTGTCGGCTGCGATTCGTTTTCCTAACGACTGGTGGCTGTCAGTGGAGCCTGGGAAAGATGTGGCCCGCTGTAATCTCAGCAGGTGGTCATTTCAAATCAAAATGCTTCACAGCCTGTTGGGAACTGTGGGATCTGAGACCGCACGCTCCATTTTATGGTCTTGTATAGTCTTCCTGTGAGGCGCGAGTTTGTGATGTGCTGGGAAAGAGCAGGGGTTTACAGGTGGTCGTATCTTTCTTTCCTGTGGGAGGTGTGGCTCTCAGGGCACAGTCAGAGTCGTTCCCGTGGATTCAGTGGGAGCAGAGACATCTTCCATGTCAGTGAATAGGTAGAAAAGGGACTCTTTGGACTAAGCCTACAAACTGCCTACTTACAAATCCCAAAAGTGATATGACTAGGCACATACCAAGGGGAAAAAACATGGCAAATTACTGCCTTAGCTGAAAATTAGTTGGCTGTCTAAATAAAGTTTAGAGCATCTCCAAATTATTGCAGGAGTGGCCTGACCTGGAGGACCCTTCCTTCTTGTGGCAAAAAATAAGTCTTTCAGATGAGCCAGGCAGTCTGTAGATGTCCAGAAGGATCATACAGGATCACTTTATTTTGCTTAAATGGTATTGTATAATCTTAACATTTCTGAACATGGGTTCAAACAATAGTTGAGCGGTGGTGATTGTGTTGGTGATTACAGTGCAGGGTATGTAGAAGCAGATTCTGGTTTAGTCTGTATACTTTGGCTTGACAAACAAAGTGAGAGGATGGACCTTTGGACTTATACCATTTTTAGACCGTAGGGAAGTACAGAATTGAACTGCTGGTCAACAGGAATTACTTAATTTTTTTTCTAAGTCAGTGGAGCTGGCTGTGCTGGCTTTAGGTGAGGTATTTACTAAGCTGCAGAGTTATTGGTTAAAAAGTGAATCTGTTTCCCGATCAGGAGGAAAAACTACCTCTTTATCAGTCAAAACTTGAGCATATAGTGAACTACAGAGCCTTTGATCACATCAGAATGTTTATATTATGTGAAACAGTTTTTCTGCTATTGAATTTATTCTATTCTGCTATAGAATTTAATATTTTCTTTTAAAAAATCCACAAACTTTAAAGAATGAGAGTGTCACACCTTCAAACTTAGAACTGTTTGCTAATTCTCCCTAGGTTTCTGACTAATCTACTAAGAAGGCAAAATGGAGATTAATTTTAAGTAATTGTAGGATACTGGAGTTTGACTTGCAGGCTCAGTCTTGAAACAGAGCACTGTGTTTATGAAGATCTTTATATAGTCACTTATTAGTGTGCTCAAACTACCTGCTTGCAGTGAAGCTTCTTGTTCATTGAAGGGAGGACCTGTTCTAGGAGCTCTTAAAAGCTTCAAAAACTTCCATGTGCTTCTTGTTTACTGCACGATTCAACGAGGCTTTTCTGGGCTTCTCATAGTGCATTCTTGGAGATTGAATTTGGTCCTGTATTAAAAAAGAAGTTCTGGACAAGTGGTATGGGCAAGGAGTGCAGTCTGCGGCGCACAGTCCAGTAACTGGGAACGAAGATCTGGGATGAGAGCTGTCCACAGCCCTCTCCTTACAGCTACGCCCACTCTGGTTTCTTCCCTCTTGTCTTTTCAGTTTCACTCTGGCATAAGAACCTTGAGTAATTATTTTGTGTTGATGAAGGTCTGGTTGTAAAGAAAGCAAGATAATTTAAGTTGTAGCAGCCACGGCTCAGAAATATAGGAGTTGATGGAAGCAGCCTCTATATGCTTTCCTCAGCAGCCATAATAATGCCTGGTGTGTGTCAGGTGCTTCTGCTCCTTTCCTGTTTCTGTAGGTGTCAGAGAGATGCACTGGCTCAATTCCCATGCATGGAACACGTAATGTAATTCCGGTGATCCCTGGTGTTGCCGTGCAGCTGCTGTGTGCCAGGTTACAGGTGCCTGCCGCCAGCGGGGCTGCTCTCGGCTGCGAGCACGGCTGGGAGCAGGGCTGGGAGCTCGGAGCAGGGCTCGGAGCAGGGCTGGGAGCTCGGAGCAGGGCTGCGAGCACGGAGCAGGGCTCGGAGCAGGGCTGGGAGCTCGGAGCACGGAGCAGGGCTCGGAGCAGGGCTCGGAGCACGGCGTGCCCGTCGCTGTAGTTCCTCTCGGCTCTGCCGAGGCGTTAAGGGGAGGGCTCTTGCAGTTCCTTGCATCACGCGAACAGCGCCATCACCTTATGCTGATGTGTCCTTCTCCTCAGAGAAGGAGGGTATAAATAGCAGTAGAGTGTATAAGGCACAACACTTAGATGTTAAGCTGTTGGATAAAATCTGTCTCAACCTTTCAAGAAGGAATAAGGATTTAGTCAAGAGAGCCACATGAGGCAGTTCTCCTTTGCTGTTTCTGATCTTTCTGTTCAAGTAAAGTGAAGACAAAGGCATATAAATAAAGGCAACAGTATAAAAACGGGTGTTGAAGGAAGTGGGAGACAAAGCAAAAAGTTTTGCCCTCTAGTTGTTATTCAGTGTAAAATGAGCCTGTGTTATCCTTGAGTTAAGCATAGGCCTGTGCAGTAGCACTTAACAAAGAGCCGTGCTGGCATTGCAACCTACTGGATGTGAGAAGTTGATTGAGTTTGGTGGAACTCAGTTTAAAGAATTTCCCTCCTCTTCAGGTCAGATGTGGCAGCTAACCTGAAAGTACCAAAGAATTTTTGTAAAAAACAAGTTTGCTGTAATTCTAGCTCCATCTTAACTCTTACCAAGACTGATTCTAAAGATGAATACTGTTCTAAGCTTTAGAAGGTCTCAGGCAATCACCAGAGACCCTCCTACAAAAATGAGATTATGGCTGTCAGATAAGAGCCTGTAGACATTTCAGGAGCTGAGTTCCAAAGTCCCAGTTCTCCCATGAAATTATTTATTCCTTTCCAGGGAACCTTACGTGATACTTTCTGCTCTACTTTGGACTCTGGTGGGTTAACTGTTGCTGGCATTTGGAGCTTGAGAGGTAACAGTATGAATCTCCAAATGTTTGATGAATGTTACAGGTAGTTTCAGGTCTTCCAGGAAGAATCCCAGTTCTGCTGCAGCAGGGCAGAGCCATGAGGCTCTCATTTTTTTGAATCCTCTGGTGGTTGTTTCTCTCCTCTAGAGATATTTGGGTCATCACAACAAATTCCTGTACTGCACATGGAGCCATGCTGATGGTCATCTTTGTTTCCTTTCCTAACAGACCAGCGAGCCTAACACCTTCCATTAGTTCCCAATTATCTTGAAATAGTTGATATCAGAAGTTTTTTCCAGCGTCAAAAGGCAAATGTGGGTGTTCCATTTGACAGCTCTCCCACCATATCGGGATATATACTTCCTTGCATCTTTCTGCAGGGGTCATATATCACTTTTCACATTAAAAGACAGTATGATTTTTTTTTTTAGTATTTAAATGTCAGCATTCTCTTTGCTGAGGAAAACATATTTTTTGATGCGGTATTTTGTTGCCTATATCAGCCAGGTTTGTCAAAGATCTCAGATCCTCTCAGCCCCTACAGTGCTGTACTTAATTAAGTCAAAATAATAACAACAGGTTGTTCTTGCCTGGGGTTTTGTTTGTTTGCTTGTTTGGGGGGATTTGTGGTTTTTTTTGTAGTGGTACCTGTCTGTACTAAAGGATTGGGTTTTTTAATTTTGAGTACTGTGTCAAACACTTTAAATGCTGCCTTTTTTTGCACCCCCCACAGTGGAAAGGGTCTGTAATCTGTCTAGTGGAGGTAAATGCAGGGAAAGAAGGGGTAACAGTTTCAATAACGAAGTTAAAATATCCAAAGGATAATCTGAAAATGCATCTGATATTGAATCACTTGTGTTGTTAGCTTTCAAATTATAATTTGTAGTGAGAACAGTACAGCTTAAGGAGATGTGGTATGAGTGTAGCCTAGGAACTTTCAAATATTCTGTAAGTCCAGCTTTCTTTTTATAGAGTCATTCAGAAAGCAGCACTGTTCTCTATAAAATGCTCTGTAAATTGCAGTACTCCTATCTTGCAGCCCTTTTTGATTGATGCTCCTGAAGCATTGGGCTTTACTGTCATTAATGTGATATTTTAAACAGAAGTACTGCATGTGTATGGTCATAAAAGATTCTCTATTTTCTGTGTGAACAGAGCTGTTGGCCCTTTTGCCCTGCAAGCTTCCATTTGCATAAATAGCATACCTTGCAGTAAGTTCAGTCTTTGCCTAATGACTGGACACTGAATAACATTGTGCACAGCAGCTGCTCGTGCCCCTGACCTCAGCTGGCCAGCATTCCTGCGAGGAGCAGCGCGTTCCGTAAATACGGGATGGCTGACAAGCTGCCTCAGGCTGATCAGCTGTCCCAGAACTGCAGCGGGGCTGAGAGGGAGTTCATGCTTTGAAGCTTCCAAGCAAAAGCTACAGCGAGTGCTGCTAATTAAGGCGTTCCTCCCCAGTGGTCTCTATGTGATTATTAACTTACATGAGAAGAAACTGAGAGACAGAAGAATTGTGATTTATCCCAGGCCATGTGACATGATGGTGACAAAAATAGGATTAGTGCCTTGCCCTGCCCTGCTTCAGACGCCGTGCAAGTTCATTGTGTTCCTAGAAACAATTGTATTTTGAAAAACAAGGCAGTGTCAATGTGAAAGCTAAGTATGTATTATCAGAGCTTTCAAGAGAAGTGAACAGATGATTTTGGTCTATTTCTTGACAAAATTTTGTCTTTTCAGTTGGTTGTAGATAAATTTTGTAGCTGTATAATTTTACTTCAAGTACGATTTATTGAAAGTAAATAAGCAGCGTAGCCTGTTCTAGCAATGGTTTATTATATAGATTTCTGCTGAAATACCATTGAAATACTGTTCTAAGAATTTCAAGCTCAAGATAACAATTTGGCTTGGTTTTGACCAGTGCTGATAGCTGAAGATACATTATTTCTGAAGCAGAGACCTCCAGGTCTGATGGTTAGCTTGGCATAGAATGCAGTCATTGTGGTGTTGGGGTGTTCTGGTGTTTTTGTTTGTTTGTTTTGCTTTTTTAAATTAAGCTAGCAAAATTGAAGAACTTGTACTGAGTTTTAATTGTGAGCATTCTTTGTTTTTTTAAAATTTTTTGATCTTTGCACTGACCAGATAAACTATCAATGTGCATTTACACCACACACTCACATCCCAAAGTTTTTAGCATGTTTGGATTTTGACAGGTAGAGCACTTTGGTATTTATCATTTCTTTTGAGATGGCCTCTAATGGCAAAAATATTTTGAAATCTAAACAGAAAGCTTGAAGAAGACTTCATTCCCAGACCTGTGCTATATTTCAGATTGCCATATGCAATGGACACTGATCTCAGTTCCCAGGACAGGAAGGACCTGGACAAATTCATCAAATTTTTTGCTTTAAAGGTAATTTTTCTTCTTTGGACAAATGCCTCTTCTTCCTTGTTTAAAAAATGCCACAAAGCAAATGATGTACTTGGTGTGGCTAGAGTAACAAGATTGAGGTTTGGGTTTGTTGTTTGTTTTGTTTTGTTTTGTTTTGTTTTGTTTTGTTTTGTTTTGCTGAAGAACAAACCAAGAAGAACTGATGTCAAATTTAAGAGATTCCTGAGAACAACTAGAAAAACATATTTTCCCCTTTTTTCTACCCTCAAATCCTCTTCCATCCTCCAGAAACATCCTGCTTTAGAGTCAGCTGTAGGCACTTCACACCTCTGTCAGCTTTGGGTTTCTAGCAGCATGTCTAACCACCACCTTTTAGGTAGTTTATCTGCTGGACTCCACTCTTTCAGCCTATCTAAATTTTTATATTGCATCCAAAAACAATAATACCAGAATGTTCTTTTGAATGATGTTGATATGTAATTATAAAATTTGGCCTCACTTCATACATAGGTGCAAGTAGATAATCTGACAATGGCTTTGGTCTAAATGTACAGACTCATTTGTCTTTAGTTGTCCAGGCCTGGGATATTTTTGTAAATTTTTCTGAATTTTCTATTGAAAACTGCAAATCCTGATTGCAAAATTGACTTTGTCTCTTAGTGTTGTTACAGAGAAAGGTCAGCCTAAAATGATTTTCTTTCTGAAATACATTTGCCTATTACATGTAATAATTTAAAGTTATTAGAACTGAAGAACAGTGTAGCGAACTCTACTTCTCTACATCCTGGTCAGCTCTTTCGTCTTTTTCACTCGCAGCTTGTGTAGCTCAGGCTCTGAACTGAGGCTCAGAGCTGGTGCTGAGCCCAGAACATCACTAAGTATCCTTTTATTTCTGTTCCAGACAGTACAAGTAATTGTCCAGGCCCGACTTGGAGAGAAAATCTGTACCCGCTCATCATCCTCCCCAACAGGTTCTGACTGGGTAAGGTCTTATTTTTTAAAGCCACCCCATAACTCTGTGTGTGTGCTGAGAACACCACGTGATTATTGCAGTCTTATGCAGACAATAATAATTATTCACAGAGTAGGTACTAGATGTAGTTATGTTCATGATGTTGCAGGGGGTTGGTGGTTGTTCAGATGCAGCAAATCACTCTGGACTCTCACAGGCTGATGAGGAGAAAGAGAAATAATGCCTCTCAGCAGCTCCTGTCAGCTAAGGCACATTTCCAAGATCTGCTTGGGGGTGGGGTGATGAGTTCTTATCTGTCAGAAGTTTGCTACTCTGCAATTCAGGACATTTTAGTATTTGGCTTTATTAAAATTGAAAAGACCCAGGATACTCTGTGGATGAAGATAGGACTGAAGCGAGGGAAAAGGAGTATATTTTTTATAGCAGGATAAGAAAAACGTTTGAATTAGCAGCCAAGGGAATCTTTGTAAATATGAAAAGCTTGAACCCAGCTGGGAATTTTCTGTTTCATAAATATTTCAGTGGACACTGACCTAGTATGTTATATATGGGTCTGTGAGCCTGTCTGAAATGTACCATCACACAGTTTTTCAAAGAAATAAAAAAAATGGAACCATCTCTTTGATTCTGCAGTTCAATTTGGCAATCAAAGATATACCAGAGGTTACTCATGAAGCAAAGAAAGCCCTGGCAGGACAGCTGCCCGCTGTTGGACGGTCTATGTGCGTGGAGATTTCTCTCAAAACCTCAGAGGTGAGAACTGAGTCAAAACAGATGCCCTTTTTTTGTTTGTGGAGTTTTCTGCCTGAATCTTAAGCCAACTATGAGAGCTCCTGCCCTTTAATCCAAGACAATGTGAGAATATCTAAATTTTATTAAGTTAGGTGATATGCTAATGAAATGAAATTTATTGTTTAACAGAAGCAATTCACTGCAAAAATCTGAGGCCAAACACACAAATGACACAGCAGAAAAATCTAAACTTTTTAGAAAATTAAATTCTTAAATTTTAAGAAACTACTTTCTTAGCCCATGAAGAACTTAGGCATTCTGAAGAAGGTATTCCCTCAGGTGATACAATTGTGCAGGGACACTTCCAGTGCACCTTTTTCTATCATTGCATCACAAGAAAGTGGGAGCCAGGAGACAAACTATTGAGAGGTGTGGTGACTTCTGATCACTGATGAGATTTGAACAGGTCTGTGTTCTGAAATGAGCCTTTGTTTGCCATCTTTTCTCTGATCCAGGGGGACTCCATGGAGCTGGAAATTTGGTGTCTGGAAATGAATGAAAAGTAAGTGCATTCTTTGTGTTTGTAGTTCTTAGCTGATGCAGTGGGCACATGTGGTTAATCCATGAGCACATACTGGCTGTGTGGCCAGGGGCACTCCAGAGGGAACTCTTCTCTTTGTCTAGAGCAGCAGTCAATCTCTTTAAACACTAGTGTCAAGAATGAAAACTAGTGATTTAATTCCTTCTTCTTTCTTCCATTACAACTAGTAGGTTTCCTCAGATACAAGAAATCATAGTCTCAGTAATGACAAATGTTTTTCATATTGAAAAGGTGTCTCTGTTTAGTAGGAGGCTGCATGGCATTTTTCAGCAATTTCTTCTACAGCAGGTGACTAGGTTGAAGCAGGATGCTTAGCTGGTTGGTCAGTACAAGTAGCCACACTGGGGCTTTATTTATCATTTTGGCAATAAAATTAAATAACTGGCCCAGAGTAATTTTTATTTAAATAAAATAATCAAAAGCAATTGCAAACCAAAACCAAACAAGAACCCCAAATCCAGGCAGCTTAGTTGTGGACTAAAGATTAATTTTTTTCCTTTGTGTTCTCTAGGTGTGACAAAGAAATCAAAGTTTCATACACTGTATACAACAGGCTGTCTCTATTGCTGAAGTCTTTGCTTGCTATAACCAGAGTAACTCCAGCCTACAGACTCTCTAGGAAACAAGGCCATGAATATGTAATATTGTACAGGTAAAGCAAAAATTTCCCATTTGAAATGCAAACAGAAGAGACTAGACTTGCATAGTGTAGCTGCAAATGTAGTTAAAAAGGGATGAGCAATAATAAAATCAAATTATTTTTATAGAAGTACTACTGATCAGTGACAGAAGACGACTTTGGTCTGTGTATCACCTTTACTTGAGCCATTGAAAGAAAAGCTAAGCATAGGCTGCATTTGCCTGCCACGTTAGGAACAGTAAGAAAAATTCTACATGCAGTCCCTTAAATTGCTTATTAGCATCCAGTTGTTTGGTGTCTGGCTTGTGTTTGATAAATGGCTCTCTACATTGCACATAACTGCAATGTGCACTTTTACAGCATAGATTCAGACTCTCTCCTGTTACTCCATTTTAAAGATGCATCCTCAATTCCACATCCTGTAGTTTTTGCAGTTTACTCATCCAAATACTGGGTTCAACTCTCTTCAGCCTGTGAGTCTGACTGGTTTGTAGTTCATAGTTGTCTTTCAGACTCTGTTTTTGGCTGTGAGAAAAGTCTTTGACATATTTGCATAGCTAATTTATATGATTGTAAATTTCAGGCTTGTTATCATTTGCACAGCTGAAAACTCAAATTCCAGCCATTTTCACTTTTTTGCCTTCATTGCTGACTTGGCATGTACTTAAGATCAACTCTTACAGCACAGTTAACCTCTTACGTTGTGTGATGAGCATCAGCTTTTAGACTCAGACCTATCTGTGAAGTTTGTATCACATCACATTTTTGCTCTGAACTGTAGACTTAACCACAGAGGCTTAAAAAAATTAAAGAGAAATTCCTGATTGGACTACCATTTTCTCTTTCTCCTTCATTTTACATGACCTGTTCTTCTTCTGGAGCAGCTGTAAGGTTTTCTGAGATGGGCATTCCAGCCATTTATTTTGGGCTTTTTTTTTCCTGAAGAGTAGTTCCAGCCTTCCAACTCCCAAAATTAAGTAAGAAATAAGGATATTTATAGCATTATGTCCCAACTGGATCTAACAGCTTTTCTTTTTCCTTTTCCTTCAGGATATATTTTGGTGAAGTCCAGCTGAGTGGCTTGGGAGAAGGTAAGATTAGACAACACACAAACAAGAGCAGAACTGTGTTTCATTCTGACTGCCTTTTGGTTACTATTGCCAAGTGTCATAGGGAAAATTAGTCTGAGGCTCACATGTGCTTTTTGTCTGGCTCTGCCAGTGCAGCCTTGTGTCACAAGGGGACAAGTATAATGGTGGTACTTGGACAAAGTCTCAGGTCACTGCCATTTTGACTCTAGTGATACAGAACTGAAATAAGGATAGGGAATTATGTTGATAAGGGGCAGGACTGGTAAAGGAAATCATGATCTACTAAAGAACAAGAAGCACTTCAGAACAATATTTTAGACCAAGAAACCAGGAAGCAACATCAGAAGTCTTGCAAGTGAAGCCTACCAGCAAGGCAACCTAGTGCTGCTGTTTTGTTATGGGTTCTATGTGTGTTTTTGGGGTTCACATTGCAGGACATAATGGTAACACTACTGAAATAAGATAATGTAAACTCAGAATAAAAAAGTGTGGCACATAAATAATCAGTGAAACTGACAATTATTCCTTAACTTTACAGGTTTCCAGACAGTCCGTGTTGGGACAGTGGGTACCCCAGTGGGCACCATCACTTTGTCTTGTGCCTACAGAATCAACCTTGCTTTCATGTCAACCAGGTGAGAAAATGTGATCATGCCAGAAACTGTTTTACAATAATTTACTGTTAAACCCCTCATGTTCTGAGCCCCCAAATCTTTCCCTTCTGCTTATCCCTTCCTGCTGAGATTCTCTTTCATGAAGAACGCTCTCTCTCTTGCTTAAGCTTGCAGCAAGGGGAGTATTTGGGTAGCCCTGAGCCAGGCTCTAGAACTTCAAATTGTTGATGCATGCCTGGAGTCACAGGACTAAATTGTAAAGATGGTCTGATCCCAATAGACACAAGGGTTTTCTGTGAGAGCACCATGAACTGGGAAGAGTAGAGAGAAAAGAGAAAAAGCCAGTAACACCATTGCTTGTTGCCTTGCAGGCAGTTTGAGAGGACCCCTCCTATCATGGGGATTATAATTGATCACTTTGTGGACCGTCCCTATCCCAGCTCTTCACCCATGCATCCCTGCAATTACAGGTGAGGAAATACTGAGTTGAAGTCATGGGCCATGGTAAAGGCATCTATTATGCCCAAATACAGAGCCTTTTCCACTCTTTGTTGACAGCATGGGAAGGGACACTGGAGAATTAGTGTCAGTCAGTTGGCACAGTTAAACATGTGATGAAGGGCGACATTTTTCTCCTCACATTGAGATGGCTGAGTGCAGCAAGCCCCAGTATTTTCCCAAATTCTTCACAGAAGCACTTGGACACAAAGGATGTTTAATCTTGGCTGCCTTCAGGAATTTGAAAGTGTAATGGTTAATCCTGATGCAGAACTACATGTCTACATGCATCCCTGGATAATTCCACTGGGGGAAGATCAGTTTAATTTCTCTTTGGAGAAGAGAGGTTTGCCTTCTCTAAAATGAATGTGAGGCCATTCAGGTTTGGACCAGTGGTGTTGTTTGACAATGGCTGTGTAAACACCAAAGCCAGCAGCACTAGGTTGTATAAGAAAAGCATTAGTTAGATACACCTGTTATTTTACAAGGGATAGAAGACAAACACCTGAGGAAAACTCATGTTTTCCCACTTTGTTTTCCTCAGATCTGGTAAGCAGACGAGAGCCCTTCATAATTCTCCTTTCAACTACACCCAAATACTCTCAACCTCCCTGCAGTGTTTGTCCCAGTGTGTTTTACTATTTGTTTGTTTTAAGGAATATTTCTGGTTAGAAAACTTGTTTTTTCTTGCTGCTTTAGAGCTGGTGAGGACAATGGTGCAGTATACCCCTCAGTAGAAGATTCCCAAGAAGTGTGTACCACATCTTTTTCCACCTCTCCTCCATCTCAGGTAAGAGAAACCAGGCTCTTTTTACTTCTGGATAGAACAATTGCTGTAAGAATAGTTTGCATATTCCTACATCAGCTGTTGTGCAAACAGAAATCCTCCTGCTGCTAATTGAAATTTAATGTGTGGGTTATTTATGTCATTACACTCTTGAGTAAAACCTACTGAAATGAGATACTAATTTCAACAAAATTCCAAAGGCCTAGAAAGACTGAATTACTGAGGATTAAAAGAGCCTATTTCTGTAGCTGGGTTGAGCTGTGTGCTTACACATTTACACATTTGCATACCAATACTGCAAGAGGAGGAATTCAAGACATTGATGCCAGGCAGCTTAAGTAGGAGTAAGAGACTGACATAGAGAGACACTGAAATACCAGGAAAATGCTAGAGAAAGACGGAAAAAAGACAAAAGCTGTATTTATTGGACCATTAAAATTTGTTGGGGCGGCAGGAATAAGTATTGGCAAAAAAATTGCCCATGCAAATTGCATTTAAGTTTCAATTTTAAAATAAATAGCTAATGGTTTCCTTTTGAGTATAAAACCCCAGAAACTCCCAAGTTCTTTTACTGTCTTACATATGTGATTCCACAGTTCTGTATTTTGAAGACTTGCAGTTGTCTATTGCTTTAAATATTCAGGATTGCCCTGCCTTGTTGTCCAGCCAAGCAGATGGCTCTACTGACCTTTAAAGACAATCCAAAGACTCTAAATCTTTTTCACTGTCAATATGAAACATAGAATGAAGTATAATAGGAATGCTATTCCAAATGGAAAGAATTTGCTAGGGGTCTTTCTGCTGCTTCAGAGGAATTAATATGCCTGGTTTAGCAGAACATATTCTCCTATATGAACAAGCTTGAAATGAGCTTCTCTTAGGAAGCATTTCTGTGCCAAAGTGATTTCAGGTGACCAGGCATCAGGCAATGTTGAACTAATTAGTCAGTACTCACGGTAAGTCTGATGGAATAGAGCTTTTCTTATTCTGCAATACACAGTTCAGGAAATTAGTTTGTGGCTGAGTTGTGTCCTGCGTTTTCCTAAAGTGGGGTAAATAAAGATTTCATGAGGAAATTTCCACTGGCTTGCTCGTGCCAGTGTTACTTAACAGTAGTAGTGTATGTAACTACATTGAAGTTGACATTTCCGCAGAGGTCATGAAGCTTTACTGTCACTGAGGGGGGAAAAGCTTAATGAAACCACTTGAACCTTGAGGATTCACATAAAGTATGAGCCTACATTCTTGCTTTTTCTGTGGCTCATAGTTGCCATATGCTGTGCCCTTATTTGTAAAGCAACTGCCAGTCTTTGTTACCACGGTTAGAATTGTAAGGCTGCCTTGGCTGAGTGGACTTTAAATTAAAAGGGAAAGAAGTAGTTATTTTTTTTTCTCCAGCTTTCTACATGTCCTGTGCAGGTTAATGACTGGGAAAATACTAGGAACTGTGTGATTTTGTAGGCAAATTGTATGAATCTCTGCCTGCCTTCTCAGTAAAAGTGAGGCCTGACCTGTGTGATACAAGGAAATAGTTGTCACCTTCTTTGTGAGCTTGTATGTCTGCATATGTGTGTTGTGAAGCAGCCCAAAATTCAGGAGAGTCTGGCCATGGGTAATACTCAGAAATGAAGCTGAAGCTTTCCTCAAACTGAAAACCATTGCTAGGAAAATGACTGTGGGAGGAGGTATGGGACTGAACCAGGTTTGGTTTGCCCTTTGTGCATTAGCACCCTCTGTGAGACTGTACTCCAGAGTTTTGCTCCTGTTGATGGAGTTCCCACTTCACATCAGTGTGTTTGAATTGCACTGTAGTCTGGGTCACCTTCATTCTCAGGGTGCAGCACAGACCTGCCAAAATAGGATCCCTCAGGAAGCTGGAGGATAGAAAGTATGGATGGATGGAGAGTGCTGAAATACAAGTAATTTGTAAATTAAAAAAAAAAAAAAAAAGTACTTTTTCTGGTATCTGCTCAGCTTTCTAGCTAATTCGCTGGTACCAATTATAATTAACTGTGGAACAGAGTCTCTGGCAGTTACTTTCTGTCAGGGTTTACTGGAGTCTAAAATATTACCTGTGTTCAGTGGTTCATTCAGATTGAAAAACAGTCAATTCTTTACAAAATGAATGTGCTTCTGGCAATACTGAGATTTCTGCTCTCTGTGTAGGTGTGGCTGCTGCAGCCAAAACCTCTTCACTAGCATTCAGTTCATCCAACTCTTCATAATTCCTCTCTGAAGTCCTTCTCTCTCTCTTTCTCTCTCCCCCCTCATTCTCTCTTTTCCTTGTTTCCTCTGTTTGTCTGTGTCTATGCACAGTGTGTTTTTACTGTCACAAAGGCACATTTTCAGACCCCTCCTCCTGTGGTGACGGACACCTTGAAGGTCCCAGTGATGGGGCTGGCCTTTTCACATCAAGTGAGTTGTCAATAGAATATGCTGTACATGGTCAGAATACAAGTTATATCAGGACAAAATGAATACAGGAATATACAAATTTGACAATGTGAAGTGTTTGTTGTGCATGGGAAGGACTGGTGAACCCACAATGAGCCAGACACTTTACTGAGACTGGCATCTTTAATGCTTTAATGCCTTTGCAGATGAAGGTTTCCTAAAGACAGGACAGGCACCCCTAAAAACACAACAGCTGTCAAGGATTGTTAGTGAAAGACACTAGTAAGGCACAATTCTGACTGTTTTCTGTTAAGAGCCAGTGTCCCCAGAACCTGTATAGTCATTAGAGCTCCACTCAGCTGAACTAGCCTCATGTGAATCAAAGTGCTGTTCCTCATTTTGATCCCTGTAAAGAACATCAGTTTTGGAGCTGCTGGAGCTCACACTGAGCTCTGGAAGAAACACTCCTCTTGAGGTCAGGCAAGTCTATAAAGGAAAGTTGTATCTAACCTGACTGGGTAGATTTCTGCCTGGGATGTATAAGGAATTTCTCCTGGGTTTCACTGCTTCCAACACTTAATTCCTAAAGCAATCTAACAAGGGTTAGCTCCTCAGTTCTCTTTACCTGGCACATTTATGGGACCATGTATTCTTTCACTGAACAGGTGACCTGTTTGAACAGGCCTGGAAGATAAGCTGTTTTAATTTTGCAATGGAAGTAGGTTCAAAGAGTTGATAATGAAGTTGTTTTGGGATTCAAAAAATATTAAATATTATCTCTTCAGTAAGTTCACGATGGCATTCATGTAACCCACTATGCCAGTATTTGAAGTAGGCCTGTAGAGCAGAGCTTCCCTGAGACTGGATGTCAGCCATACCTTGCACAGCCTCCTCCTACATGTGTAGGAAGCCAATCTTGTTTTCCTGTCAAGGCTCAGACTTAGTTCCCCTGGACTACTGTCAAGTAGTCCTCATAGCAATAAGAATTTTTTAGAACAATAAACTACATTATTGATTCCAGTGAAAATCTAGGATCCTTCTGCCAGCCTGAAATGCTGTGCCTCTGACTTTTCCTGTTCCTTCTTCAGTGACTGGTGATTGTTCAGGCTGTGGGGCATTCCCCTTCCCTTTCCTCTCTCCTCTCCCTTTGCCCTTGTTTTTTCTCTTCTTCCTTAGCTTTCCAGCTCACGTCTTTCCTATCAGCCTGCTGCCCTGGGAGTTGGATCAGCTGACATGGGGTATCCTGTACTCTTTGCTGGTGGCTTGAATGCTACACACCCTCACCAGGTACTTGTAGAGAGTAGAACCAGCGTGGCTGGTATTGCAACCATTTGTGTCACTTGTACACCTGAGAGAGACATTGAAGCTAGTGCTTGCATTGGGGTCCTGTCTGTCAGGAATGGAAAGAATATAAAGTAAACACAGAGAAAGCACAACTTCCACAGGAGCTGGGAATCGGCTCCGCAGCATCCCTGACTTTACTGGGGTATGAGGTCATGTGGAAAAACTATGCCAAGAGAGCAGGCACCAGACCTGTTTGCCTGCACCAGCTTGTCACTGATTCCAAATGTTGCCTGTCTCACAGAGCTGCTGCCCCTGTAGCTGTCCAAGCACAGTTCTGTAGGCTAGGCATAGGATACACTGGCAGTTCATATTGGCATACTTACATTGGTGCATCAGAAAAAGAAGTCAAGTTGACAGAAGTCTTTTTCTGCTTGTGATATTGATGTTGCACCAGTTTTGCTGACACAAATGTTAATAAAATAAAATCATTTCAGTTGGAGTGGTCTTACAGTCAGCATCTAATCCAACATCCAATTCAGGGCTGGCCAAATTAAAGCCTGGTATTAAGGCAATTGTCCAAATGCCTCTTAAAACTGGCAGCTTGGGGCATGGACCACCTCTCTAGGAAGAGAACACTGTTCCAGTTTTTGACCACCCTCTCTCCAAATGTCCAGCCTCCCCTGGTGCAGCTTCAAACCACTCCCATGCATCTTATCACTGCATCCCAGGGAGAAGAGAGCAGCACCTCCCTCTCCACTTTCCCTTCTCTTGAAGGTGTAGGAGCCATGGGCTTGTAGCAAGGGGATGTAAGGTTTTTTTCCCTCCATTCCTTCCCATGAAGCCGAGGACTTACAGCCAGAGAACTCTGCAGTGTAAAACAGGCCTGAAGTGGACAGTAGAGTAGAAAGGGAGTAAAAAGTGAGTTTGTATTGTGATAATACACTCCTACATGACATCTCTCTGAGGCTTATAGGGGCTAGATCCCAGTCATATGCCAAAACCCCCACAACTTATGCCCAGTATAATGGAAATCTACTCTTTATTGCACTGTGGTTTTGGTTTGATTTTGAGATTTCTTAACTTGACTGTTTCTTTCTATATCTCAGTTGATTGGTCCAGGCAAAGAAGGGGGAGTTCCCCCAGTTCCTAGCCAGCCAGCACATGGCACTCAAGCTGACCAAGAGAGGATGTGCACCCCACTGGAGGGAGTACATTACTCAGCAGCTACTCCTTCTAGCAGGTAGGTTGGTTTTAGATGATCCACTACTTCTACTAACCCACTTATAAGCCTATTAAGATAAAACTTTTTGTCTCCCCTTTTTATTTATTGTTTGTAGCATAACTATTGTCTTTTCATTCCTCAAATCAACTTGCAGATTTCTCTGATTGGGACTTTTTCAGCCTTACTCCAAACAATGATCTTGCCCATCTATTTAAACCTCCCAGTCTATGCAATATTCTTCTTCTATGTAGTATATCTTTTTCTATATCAACTTTATTATTGATTTTATAATTTTTTCAATCTTTCTGCTGCTTTTGCTGATTGTAAAACAAGATGCAGTAAGTTCAAAAATGAGTCTTAAATTCTCTAGACTTAATGTGCATTGTTACCAAAGCCAGTTGTAGTTACCATAAATCTGTTCAGAAACTTTCTGCCTAAAGTTATTTAAAAGGAAACAATGCAACCTCAAACTGTCCTAAATCAACTCCCTCACATCTAATTAAATCCTTCTGGTAATATTTATTTCTTGAGAAATCTCTCTTGGGGTCACATAGTTGTGAGTCACAGAGGTTTTGCTCTGGGAAAACCAAAACTCACTTTCCTGGGTATACTTGAATGGTAATCCTCTTCAGTCCTTTCTAGGTAATCCTCTTTCCATGGGACAAAACTTTTTTTTTTGTTTTGTTTTAAAGTTCTAAATACCTGTGGTAGGAAAAACCACAAAACAATAAGTCATGGAAGTAATATAGCTAATAGCTATGGAGTGAATTAATCATACTGGGAGTGGCTGTTGTCATGTACCAGATCTGCTGCATTTGTGAACTGAGTGACAGATATAATGGGAGATCTCTCACCTCCTGAGAGATCTGTGAGTACCGTGTTACTGAAAAATAGTAGTAATGGACCTGTGGACACACACAAGTTAAAAGCCCATTTCCCAGAAGAAAAGCCTATTTCAGCAACTTTATATTCAACTAAATAGTTTTTGTCCATCTTTAAACAAAAACCTGATTGCACAAGTGTCCACTTTCCTTTTGTGCTCCTGACTGAGGAGGAAGGTATGGTACAAGGACAGATTTCTGTTGTCCTTCTTCCAATACTAGGAGTAAACCAAGAAAAATGAAGGAGTCTCATAAAAAACCTTATTTATCTACCCTGTGTCAGAAGGCACTAATTATGTATTTTCCTCCCCCAGTGAGGATACAGAAACAGTATCCAACAGCAGTGAAGGAAAGTGTGGCTCCCCACATGACCTTTTGGAGACCATCTTTATCCGGAAGGTGGGAGCTTTTGTCAACAAACCCATCAACCAGGTAACAGGCAGTAGATCTTCTCAGAGAGCACCATAACACCTTTCTTTTCCCATCTGTTCATACATAGAGGAGCAAAAAGCACCCGAATGCCAGGGCAACCTCAGAGACTCACAGAGTGCATATTTCTGCCTGTTGCATTTCCCTATGTTTGCCAAGGTGTATTTTGTTTTTCCTAAAATCCTTTTGGGATGTGACAGCCATTGACCTCGCTCCACTTTGCCAGCACCCTATTTGAGAATAGAAGACTTGGTACTCCACTTGGATCTCACAATGATCTGCAAATACCACAGATCCATAAACTAGGAAAGCTGATAGCAAGCCTCCCTTCCTTGAAGGAACATGCAGTAGACCAGTTCATCACTAGAAGCAAGCATTTAAGTTCAGCTAGGGCAGCTTAGAGATTTGCCTGGTTCCTAGGGCTGCAGTTGTAGACCTTTTGGATGAAGGAATGAGAATTGTTTCAATTTGTAGCAGTTCATTAATCCTTGCCTATATTATACAAGATATGTATAGAAGCAATCCCATCTCAAGATATGTATCTGCATTAGGTCAACAGAGTATCATCTTTGGATTTCATGCCTTTTAAATGAGGTTGTCAGCCTCCTGCCTAACTGCTGACGTGATTTTGGGCCGTTTTCAGCTGGCCTGACAAAGACATTCAATATCCTTTTTGTGCCCGGTAAGCAGAGCATCTTAGTGAAATTCTGTTTGCTAAATCTCCTCAGGTGACCATGGCCAACTTAGACATTCCTTTTGCCATGTTTGCTCCCAAGAATGTTGAGCTGGAAGATAACGACCCCATGGTAAGACTCTTCCAGAGGTATATGTGCCTTCTCAGCATCCCTTATGCAAACATCCATGCTATTCTCTGCCTTGAATACACTTTGGTTTTGGACAAAATAACTAGTTATTCAGATTTGTTTGCTTTCAAGAAGTCTCCTGTGTTGAATCTTGGGCTCTGTAGACATGCAAATAACAGCATGTGTTTGCTGCCCCTGCTCTAGTTAATGTTAATTGTTCAACCTCCTAACTGCCCCCACATTGCCAAAGCACACACAGACATGACTGTAAGATCAGTACTCACCATCTTTGATTTCTTGGGCAGGTCAATCCTCCTGAATCCCCAGAAACGGAATCTCCTCTACACGGCAGCTTACACTCAGAGGGCTCCAGTGGCAGCAGCACAGGGAACACCCACGATGACTTCGTTATGGTCGACTTTGTAAGTGCCCCCATCAGAGCTCTTAAACTGCACCTTAGTTGGGCTTCACGTGCTGGTGTGATGGCAAATGATGTCAGAGTATTTTCAGTGGGAGTGGTAAAGACACATCATTCACAGTACCACACTCTAGAGTGTGACAGTCCCAGAACTGCCAAGGACACTCGTACCAGGCATCAACAGCTACAAATTAAATACCATTTCAGTTCTCTACTAACATCTGGGCTTGGCATCCTCTCTCTTAGCACCTAGAGGAGCTAGATTCCAAAGATATGTTCTCTTCCAACTGCTCAAGTGCTATTGTGATATCAAGTGATATTGGCTGTTCTTCAGTTATTTCATATGCATTATTGCAGCAACAGTTATAATGCCAAGATGTTTACTGATAGCAGGTAACAACTTTACCTGAGATTGTAACAAAAGGGAAGCCAATATCTCTGGGAATTAACAGCAGTGTCTTTGATTGTAGAAACCAGCATTTTCAAAAGATGACATTCTTCCAATGGACCTGGGGACATTTTACCGTGAATTTCAGAACCCCCCTCAACTCAGCAGCCTCTCCATTGACATTGGAGCACAGTCCATGGCAGAGGATTTGGTATGGAATCCTGAAATTTCTGTTTGTGGAAATCATATGTACTTTATAATGCTCTCCCTATTCCTTGTTTGAAAAAAGTATCTTCATAGAATTGTAGAATAGATTGGGTTGGAAGGAACCAAGGTCATCTAGTCCAGCCCCTCTGCAATGAGCAGGGATATGTTCAACTAAATCAGGTTGCTCAGCCCCATCTAACCTGGCCATGTTTATTTCCATGGATGGGGCATCCACCACTTCTCTGGGCAGCCTGTTATAATTTTTCACCAGCTTCATAAAAAAATTCTCTCTTATCTAGTGTGAATCTAGTCTCTTTCAATTTAAAATCATTGTCCCTTGTCCTATCACAACAGCCCCTGCTAAAAAGTCTGTTCCCATTATTCTTAAATGTCTCCTTTTAGTACTGAAAAGCCAAAATAAGGTCTCCTCAGAGCATTCTCATCTTCAGGCTGAATCACTCCAAGTCCTCAGCCTTATCTTAACAGGAGCGGTGCTCCAGCCCTCGGATCATTTTTGTAGCCCTCCTCTGGACCCACTCTAACAGGCCCCATGTCTTTCCTATACTTTTCAGAAGATAAAGTTTTTTTCCCTATACTTTTCAGAAGGGAGTCTATCACTAATATTTTCCAAATAAATGCAGATTTGTTTCTGGTACACCTGAGTCTCTGAAACCAGTGTGTCTAGAAGCTGAAGGCTGCTGCAGCATGCTTGGTCACTGAAACTCCCCAAACTAATCCAGCCTCTGGGTGTCTCACTTGGTGGCAAACCAGGCCTGACTTTGCAGCCTGAGCAGTTGGAGTTCCGATGTGGCTGGTGAGTCACATCTGGATGAGCGCTCTCTTAGGCTCTCTGGCATTGTGCCATACTGTGGAGAAAAATGAAAACCAGAGAGCAGAAAGTGACTTGATGAAGGCAATGATTTGAGTGGGTTATTGTGCTGCAGCTGGTGGGGATTGCACAAGGTGAGGCCTCAGTGCACCTCTAGTTCCTGCAGAACAAACAGGCTCTGGGCAGAGTGCCCTGCTCAGGGTCACTTCCTGGATGCTGCCAGAGGGCTCCTGCTTTTGTGCACGTAGAAAGGTGAGCCCAGAGCATTGGTGAGGGATTGCATGACTGAGAAACAGATTTTTTTCCTAGTGTGTTTAAAATTTCCTTCTGTCTGCTGTGAATGAACCCTGATCTGCATTTTTCCTTACCTTCCAGGACTCGTTACCAGAGAAGCTGGCAGTCCATGAGAAAAATGTCAAAGAATTTGATGCTTTTGTGGAAACCTTGCAGTGAAGCTGTTTCCCAGTTCTGCTGCAGCAATTCTTCCTCCCCAAGGCATCCTGGAGATGACATCAACAGATATCTCTATTGCCCCTGCTCTGCCTTTTGTTCACATTGACTAGTTCCCTCCATCAAGTGAGCTTTCTTTTCTCTCTTCAATGACAGATACAGCTCATCTGCTGATTCTCCTCAACTTTTCCACCACATAGTTCTGGACTGCTTTTCCTGCTCACAGTCAGTTTTAAGACTTCAGTAGGGACACAGGAAGTCAAACCTCAGTGTATGGAAACTTACTTTCTCTTCAGTCTGTGTTCTGTATGGAGGGGCATTGTGGAAAGTTGCCATATGCTTCCTCCAAGGGTCCTATGGTGTAAGTTTCCTAGGTAGAGCTTCTTGCTAACAGACTTTTTCCTGCAGTCTCTGATCCTGTTAGAGCATAGAAAGCTTTGGCTTATTTCCAGGATCTGTGAGTTCAGCAAATTCAACTGTTTGAAGTCCATTCCACAGAACTGGGCATTTCATCCCGACTTCAGAGTGCTTGCTTGGAGCACAGGGAGAGATGTCAGCTTTGGGACCTGCATAATCCAAGTTACCTTTGTTTTCCTGCTTCTAAGGAATTGGGTCTCTACACTGTGCAATGTTAGGTGGCTGATAAGCAGGAGTGAAACTGCAGGAATGCTTTCCACATTTCCTTCCCGAGTGCACTGACACTCGGCCATGCTGAGTGTAACAGTGTTGACTGTTGGCAAGCCTGCACATAGCAGCTGTGATGATGCTGAATTCATAGTCTCTGCTTTTGAAACATAACTGTAAATACTAGGAATCCTATTTCTTTAGGGTTATGTAACTAGGAGTCTTAGTCCAAGATTTTTTCCTCTAATCCTTGCAAACCTTCCTGCTTTATGGTTAATAGATGATCTTAAGAATTAAAAAATATTTATTGCTTTTAAAGAAACCTATATTTAAAAGATGTTCTGTTTTCATGTTATAGTGCGGGTCATTCTGTCCTGATCACTGCAGAGAGCAAGTGTGCCATGGAACCCTAGCCAGTGAGGCTAGTCTCTCTTTGCAAGAAAATATCAAAGATATTTATTTTCTAAGACAGACTTAACTAATATTATACTCTGTTTGGGGGACTGTGTGTCCATTACATCCAGCCAGGGCTCACTGATAAAATGAAATGCACATGTCAGTGGAATGGAGTGGCAGGGACTTGGTAAAAAGCTGTTTTCTGATAGGCATGGATGAATTTGTAGTGTTCTTTGGCCATTCAGAAGGCAGCTTCTTTAAAGAAGCACACTTTTTGGGAAGCTTATGGTACTTTTTAATCAACTGGCTTTTGAGTAGCTGAAATTTTATTTTTGTAATAATCCAGCCACTGACAGTGTGACTGGCTGGAATTGCTCTATGGGTGATTTGGCTGTTGCATGTCTTCTGCCTCATGTAAGGATGGGAGGAGAAACAGTGACACTAAACAGAAACTTGGATAAGGTGGGGTTTCTTGTGGTTCTCTCTCTTCCTGCCCCGTGTAACTAGAGTGTGCAACTGCAAGACCCCTTACTGTCCAAAACCACTTCTTTTCCCCCTAGTTTCTTTTAAGTGGAGTTGTGTTGCTTGAGGACTGAGAAACCATCTTCATTTCCTCAGAGTGGCTGAGTAACCAGCCTTCTAGTTGGTGCAACGTGGCAGCTTCAGCTTAGCTGCATTCTTCATTGGAAAAGATTGCCTGCAGCTGATGAGGGAACCCCAGCTCCACTCTGGGACACTATTTCTGTGTCACTGCTGGAGCAAGGAGCCAAATTCAGAGCAGCTTACTTTAAGGCCAGAGCAAAGCAATGCTTTGAAGTTTACGAGAATTTTTGTTGAGAGATGTGTTTGGTGGGAGGCCTTGTAAGTTCTAAAACTCCAGGTAAGAGCTTCATTGAAGGAAAATTACCCACCAGAACCTTTTTATTTTACTCAACTGATTCAACTTCTTAGCAACCTCACATAGAAATTGCTTTGTCCATGCAAAGATGCAGAAACATTTAAGAAAGGTTCCAAGATGAAACAGTTTGTAACAGGACTTCAGTTACACAGGCTGTAACAAACACTTGTTACCCATCCAAAAGCCACCTTGTTTCACAAGTGGGAAGGGTCACAGAAGGGTGCAGAACAAGGAAATAATGTATCAACTGCCTCTCACCTGTGCTCAGGAAGTTGGTCTGCCACTTTGTAGGAAGTAGTTTGAGACAGGTGGTTGTGAACTTTAGTCTCTGAAGTGATACAATCTGGGCTGCAGAGCAGCAGACAGGAGGCAAAGGGCTGGTTCACACCACATGAATAGAGAATAGTTGAGGTTAAAGTTCATCTAGCCAGCACTCCTGCTGTGCTCTTCTTGCTGACAAGCTGTGGAGCTGGCAGGGAGCACTGCCATTCTTGTTAACCCCACCCAGGAGGTCAGGGCTTGTACTTGTGCTCCTTTATTGTGGGAGTTCCTAACATGGCTACAGCTCTCACATCTCGTAAGGCAAAATGGCACCGTGGCACATTTCCTCCTGTTCAAAAGGCTGGAAAATTGCCTATATAAGCTGCTAGTGTTGAGCTGGATGGCCATAGCAATAAGAGAGCCTCCAGGGCTGAGTCACCTGCCTCTTCTCTGGACAGTCTTCAGTTTTAACACATGGTTGCTACATCTAGGCTCTGAGTTCCCTGACCACTGCACAAATGCTCTGCTGCTGTGGCCTGCCACAGATTGTATTATGAAGGCTGTTTATTTCAGCAGCTCTCTGCTCTGCTGAACATTAAGGACAGTATCTATGTAGCTGCTGATTTACAGATACTTTGGGTGGAGGGGAAGGTTCCTCAAGTGTATTATTTTGGAAAGTCTCCGGTGTACTTCAAGTATTCAAAGAATTTCCAATAAAACTTTTGTGTAAGCAGCACTCTCCATTTTTCTGTGTACCAACAGGTCTGGGACAGTCCCATGCTCATACTTGTTTTCCTCCAGGAAAAAGGAGGGTCAGGGGCCTCTCAGTGAATGCAGGACAGAGCAAGTTGCTGCCTCTGTGAGAGGGCAGAATGGACTGGTGCATTATAGTTGGAGAGGGCAGTGGGATCTTGCTGAGATCAACCTACTGGAAGGACAATGAGGGACAGACAGAACAGGTGCCTGGAGGTGGGAGGAACAGTCATAGGGTGTTTGACCCTGCTGACCTCACCATGAATTGGGAAACAAATATTAACTTATCTCCAGAGGAAAGGGGTGGGAAAAGGCAGAAAAATTTACCCAGAAAATTTGCATTGTACATGGTTGCTACATACTTTAAGAAGCATAGGAGTGTTTTGAGCTGACAGGAGAGATAGCAGAGACTAATAAAATACAGAAAGAATAACCAAACTTAACAGCTGCACTCTAGTATTGGTAAAAGTTAACCTTGTATAACAGACAGTGCCAGGTATGGTGCCAACACCTTCCCTTTAAAGGAAAGACAAGATTATAAAAATCCATGTACTAATAACAACTGCTGATTTAAGCTTCAGTGTAAAGGGTGTCTGGTTATTATAAAAAAAGACACAGTGGATAAAATGACATGAATGGGGGGAAAAAAAAAAGAATAATGACTGTGTATTAGAAGGTTCTATCAAGGGAATATTCCAGCTTGGGATATAAGGGTAACTAATAAAAGCAATCTTTTCTTAATCACATCTTCAGAAGGTAAGACAGTAAACTGAGCATACCACTGGGATCTCACAGTCTACATTATATGCATTTATGTATGTGTATATATGAGTGTCATTTAATGAACTTAAAAAGACACAGTGCAGTGTGAAAACTCACAGAAACCATCCTGTAGGATCTGGGGCCTACTACAGGGCTTTCAGTTTCCACTATTTACACCATGTCACCAGAAAGACAAGGGATTGGAAAAACCATCAGGAAATAAGTGACAAAGAAAACAATCACATAAGTATGATTAACCACCAACGTCATGAACAATTAAATACCATCACTTTGTGAGCCTACTTTATGTATTTATAAAAAAAATGTTCTCAGAACAGTGTCCAGCAAGTCAGGGGGCAGCTACTCATGAGAAAGTGTCCAGTTGCAGTGGTGCTCACACTGTTCAGTACTGCCCATGGCTGCACATAACGCAGTCCTGCCAGTGCCAGCTCCCTGTCAGGGACAGATGCACCTGCTCTCCAGCTCCTCTGAGCTGATGTCGCTACAGCACAATGCCAGGCAGGTCACTGTGACAAAGCCCAGAGCCAGGACCACCTGCTACACTGGGGAGGTTTGAGATCTCTCTGTATAGTTGGCATGTTAACCACACCGACCCCATTACAGGGGCCATGTCAACATACAGAAGGGGAGCTGGCAACACTGGGAAGCCTTAACTGGTACAGTAAAAACAGACAAGCAGCACACATTTTAGACATGCAAGTGTTGACATCAGCATCAACACGTCACCCTGACACACCATCGCTGACATCCCAGCGGTCAGGCTACTGCCTGACGCTGATGGCTTTAGCCCCAGCCCTCTCTGTTCTACTCCTAATTCTTGCATCCTAGCCAAAAGCTTACTAACAGGCAAACTGCAGTCCTTAGGAAAAAGTGGTGAACTGAATATGGATCAAGAGGAGTGCAGTGGTCCTAACCAGACTATTGCTCATCAAGTTAGCAATCCACATCCATTGAAATGAGAAGGTGCAGGCTTCTGCTGAGTGTATCACTTGCCCCAGGATAATAAACTTAGCCAGCAATTCCTAAAGTGGCTCCTGCTTGGAAATCCTAGGCAGACTGCTCATCATGACAGGAAGATGGTAATGTGGAAGAACATCCCTCTTCAGAAGAACCAAATCTACACTACTTCATTTTTGTTTTAAATCTGTTTCCAGCCCAAGGCTCCTGCAGCCTAATATTTCTTCAGAGTTACTCACACAGGGGGCATTTCATACTTTCTTTCCTTCCTTGCAGCATGATTGTGGTTGGCAGCATAGACAGCCTTACTTGTTTGTTGTAGATGTGTCACTGCTGCTGCCACTGGACGAACATGTCTGGATCTGAGATTACATTTTGATTTTTATTGAAATACAAAAAGTGCAAACTGTGAAATACAAGATTGGTGCAGATTAAAAGAAAATAAACAGTGTGAACTGTGAAAATCCAGGCATGCACCTGATGAACATTAACAAAGAAGGCAGGGAACACCAGCAACAAAAGCAAAGCAGAAGTTTTTGCACAGGAGCCCCTGTGCATAAAAAAGGAAACTGGGACCAAACTGGCCCTCAGCTCTCTCATGTTAGCACACAAGGCATCTGGATGGCCCCCGACCCCCTGCACTGCCCAGAAGCTCTGGTGTCAGTTCACAGCTTGGGCCAGGGAGTGATAAGAGGCCATTAAGACAGCAGGAGGTTTAGCAGAGGGGAATGTTCTAGATGCTAAAAAGCAGGAGGTTGATGCAGAACAAGTACCCCCACAGGAAGAAATGGCTAATAGCTAACCTGAAAGGTAAGCCAGGAATGAGACCCTTGGGCAGCTCTATAGCAGAAAACCGACACAGACCAGCACCTTAATTGTATACCACCCTGACCTACACAAGGCAGAGAAGCCCTGCCTAGCCAGCACCCTGCCCACGTGAGGAGGGAATTTAACCTCATGGCCTTGGCAGGAGCAGGCTCTGGTCACCACCCACCTGACACAGGCTGCAGGCAGGCCCGGGCCAGTTCTTCGCTCAGATCACTGGAGGAATATTTCAATACAAGGCATTCAGGAGAAAAGACTGCAAAAGCAACCCTGGTTACTATGCCTGCTCCAGGGCTCTCAGCAGCTCCAGCACAAGGAGCAGCAGAGGAAAGGGGATATTTACAGTGGGTCCCTTCCAGGATTTGCAAGCACTTTCCTACCATGAGCAGTAGTAGTTCCCTGAACACTCTCTGTAAGCACTGAACTGGAACAGGCTTTTATCCCTGCCAGCAGGGGATGAACTAGCCTCTATTTTGCTAAAAAAGGAATCGTCATTTCAAGAATTCACTAAAAAAAAAAACAACCCAAATCCCAAAAAACACCCTAAAATAAACCGCCAAAGTCCAGCCATAACTCAGACACTTGCAGTATTCCCCACTTTCCCCCTGGACAGGAGCTACTCCAGCACTGCTCCTCTGGCTACTGGGCAAGGAACAGTCCTTGCAGCTCTGCAAGGCCAGAGCATGCCACTTCCCTAGAGAGTGCACAGGGCCAGGCCTCATGCACACAGGCACTTGCATTCCAGGCTGCCAAGCTTGGGCGTTTGTCCCAGAAGTTCAGTGGGCTTGCCTTTCCTCTACAGAGATGAAGGTGAAGCCAGTGTCAGCTGCAGATACAGTCAGAGCACCAAGTCCCCTTCTCCCCCTACCAAAGGCAGCACAGGACAGGATGCCTGCAGGGAAAAAGGAGCTGCACTAGGCTCCCTCAGCCTCCACGCCCTTGCCCCTTAAACACTGGGGGGAGTACACCTCTCTCCACACTAGTCCACCCCAGATTACTCCTCCACAGCACATCCGCCCTGCTAACTCACTCTAGAAGAGATCACAAATGAATTAGGAGCAGATTAGCTCTCCCTCCAAAACATTTACTTAGTTACTGCTGTGAATTGTTCAGGATGAAGCAATTCATATCCTGGCCAAACAGGGAATGCTCCTACTCTCGGAAGAGGGAGGCTTGAAGAAGTCAGCAGCCTGGTAACCTCCACAGGGCAAAGTCTCCCGGTATCTAGAAAGGATCAGATCCAGTCCTGTCTTTGAACCTCTCTTGCTCCAGCCTTAGTAATGTTTACTTACTTGTTCACTGCTCCCACCCACACGTTGGTGTGCCTCCTCCAAGGCAGCTGGCTGGACCTTGGAGAGCTGCCTATGTTTGCCCCCATCCCCATTCCAGAGTTTAGCAAAAAGAGCAATCTCCTTAATTCCTGCAGCAGATGCCATTTACTTTGACTACGCCAGGGGCACTGACCCCTGGTCAGTGTTTAAAGGCAGGCTAAAATATTATGAAAAAGCAAATTATCTTTAGCATCCAGTAGCTTTAAAAAACCAGTTCTGCTTGGTCCAAAAGATTTGTCCCTGAGGCCAGATGCAGCAAGGAGGTCTGGCCCAGGCACACGATACAAAGATAAATCACGCCAGTGAAGTAAGGCTAGAAGCTCCCTCCTTTAACTCTGACAGGCCCAGGCTGAGGAGAAGGATCTCTTTTAGCTCAGGTAATGGGAATGAGGCAACCCAAACCCAACAGAGATGCTGCGACAGTATCGCAGCTGCTCCAGGGAGGTGCCAGGACCACCCCACTCTGAGCCTGCCTTGCAGAGAACATGACCTCTCCAGCTGTGCCCAGGGCATACAGCATGCACCTGACCAGATGGCAGGGTGGAAGGTATGAACCCAGGAGGAGACACAGCAAAAGCCCTTGGCATGGAATAGCTGCTCCCTCACAGCTTTGGCACGAGTGCTCAGCACCTGGTCAGAAATTTGTAATCCAGGCCTGCTGCACTCCATGGTGAGGGACAGCCCCAGTCCCCAGACCTTCCCTCAAGGCCATGCTCTCTGTTACATTGTGCTGAGGAAAGTTATGCTCAAAAAGTAAAAACTAGTCAAGGCGGTCTGTGCCAGTCAGCACAGATACATGTGCCAGAAGAGGCCTACTGCTGCCAGGACAGATGGGGATCTTCATGGTGTTCAGCAGCCCAGTGCCACCAGGGCACTTGCTCCTGCCATTCAGACTCACCAGTGGTCAAAGGGTCACAGCTAGCCTGCATGCACAGCCAAGCTTGGCATGACCCTTCCCAGCCAGGCTGGAAGTGCTGCTGGAAGGACAAACACACCTGAGCTGGATAACTACAGGAGGCAAGTCACCCACTACAGTCCAGCAAACACTGAATAGTACCTGGAGTGGGTGACACCAGAGGGACTGGGCTTGGGCTAAACTCAGCTTCATTGTTTTGGAGTCTGACAGATAACAACAGCACATTGCCATGAGCCTGTCCTTCACCTGCCTGCCAAAAGCAGGGGGTCTAGAGTGGTGGTTGCAAGTGCAGGACATGCTGCTACCTGAAGCACAAGGGCTGCTGCTCCCTTCCCTGCTTTAGGTGCCCCTGGGGAAAGGCAGAATGCATGCTCAGTGCTGACAAATGGCACTCACAGTAAGAATGTCTCCATCATAAAACCCAGCAACCCTGCCCTAGCCCAAACAGCCCAGCTGAGGCAAGGAGGGGTGAGCTGGGGCTATTGGGAGCTTGAACAAAAAGATCTGTGCTAGGAAGGGACCAGGAGGGCAGAAAAACTGCACATAAGGGAAGGAGGAAAGGAAGGCAGGTCATCTGATAGGGCAGAAGACTGGTGATGAGCCCTGGAGAAGCTGCGCAGGTGGGTTAGGACTCCAGTCTCAGCAGCAGGGAGACCAGCTCCCCTGCCCATCCAGAGCTGCAGGTCTCCTGCTCACTTACTTGCACACTTTCACCATCATCTCCACAGCCCTCACTCTGCTCATCACCCAGAAGATCAATGGTCCCTTTGCACTGGAGACAGCTTGGTCACAGCTCCAAGACAAAGAAGGGGAAGGTGGGCACAGTGTGCAGGTGTGGGCTGGCCTGGGTTCAGGCCTCTGCAGCCTCAAACAGCTCCTTCTGGTGGTCCAACAGGAATTTGGTAAAGGTATTGATGGGATTGATGGCTTTTAGAGTGATGGCCACATCTTTGGCCCAGAGCAGATTTGGGCCAAACACAACTGCCAGGTTGGTGTTTGTCATCTTGTTTCTGTCGCTGTGAGCAGAGACCTATGTGGGAAGGAAAGAGATGACTGTGAATCCTACAGAATAGCACAGCAGCTGCCTACCCTCCCCAAAGCCAGAGACAGAGAAAATAAGGGGAGAAAAGCTGACCAGGCTATGTCATAACAACAGAATCAAGAGCACTGGCAGATAATATCTCTACAAGTCCAAATCACCACTCATGATCTTCCCTCTTGCTTGAATGGCCTTGCAGTGGCTTTCTTGGCAGCAGGAAGTACTGCAAAGCAAATCTGAGCCCCCTCTTCTACTCAGCTACTTTGTAGTTCTACCTCCAGCCTGGGGAGCTTCCAGCCTCCCTGGTACAGACCACACAGGCTGTGTGCCTGCACCTTTAGGCTGCCTGTGCCTCTCAGCGTTATGACAAGTAAATGCTTAGGCTGGTGCTCACCTGCACCAGAAAGGCCGTCAGCAAACGGAGCACTTGGTAGTTTTCTTCTGGCAAATCCTGGAGCGTTTTGCGAACAACATCCACACGTTTCATCTCCTCCACACCTAAAAATCAAGAGAGACAGGACAATCCTCAGCACTCGTCCTGATGAAGGCCCCGCTGGCAGTCACAAGTTATCCCATGCATGTCTCCACAAAGACATCTTTGCCCTTAGCCAGTGAAACATTCAGGGAGTAGCACTTGTTACAACTCACTCTGGAAGCTGACAACATGGCTGTAGAGGCCAAAAGTAAGGAGGGGCTCAGGTAGCTCCCTCAAGAAGGTCTTGAGAATCACAGCAGGGAGGTGGACATCTTCATACTCCTGGAAATCTACAGGCACACCTGAGAAAGTAGAGCAGAGACTCAGTGCTCACTGGGCAAAGCAGCACCTCCTCCAGACAAAGGACAGGACATGATGGTCAGAGCCCAAAACTAAGGAAGAGGTATCTTAAAAAACACAGAATCCCAAAGTACCACATCTTCTAGCAAAGTGGAAAAATATGTCCCAAAATCATATACAAACCAGTGCTGAATGCAGCATTACATCTTTAGAAGTCATCAAATCAAACATGACTAAGTTCCATCCTGGTCATCTTAAGTCCCTTCAGTATAACCAGAATAAGATGGTGTATCTCACCCCAAGAAACAGGGAAACTTTCAGGAAAAAAAAAAGAATAGTCAAGGGAATACGAGTGGGAAGGAATATGCTTTCCACACAGCAGAAGTACCAAACACTTCTCCCTTGCAATTCAGGTCATACCCCAAGATGAGGCCTCACCTGCGGACCTATCAAAGAAGAAGAGGATCCATGATGGACTAGCTCCTACACAGCTGCAGTTGCACAGTAGTAATTAGGGAATGAGAGGGGCTCTGATGTGTTTGGGCACTTACCCATATTGTATTTTTGCTGGACCTCTCTGACAACCTGTGTATTTGCTGATCTCCGGAAAATCCCCTCTGTATTAAGAGCTGTGAAGTGACAGCAGATGGAGAAGAAAACAATCAGCCATGTGAGAGTCTCTAAAAATGCTGGCCTTTGCAATTATAAATCCATGCTGTGGGGCATTCAGACAGATATCAACAAGTCCCTTTTTTAGAGTGCAACAATTTTTTCTGCTTCCACTATATATCAAGGGATACAAGGGGCATTTGGATACTTTTACACAAGAAGGAACGTGAACTCCTGAAAGAAGGAGGTCTCCTAAACCCTCCACAATCTCACTTGAAGGCTAACTCACCTAATTCAGGCTTTACACCCTACTCTAGACTGCTGTTCTTCTTTATCTTAACACAGTCTTGATGGGAGCTTGGACAGAACAGAGGTCACTGATCTGGGACTGCAGCTTCCCCAAACACTTACCATGCTCCCGCAAGTGAGCAATGGTGTCTCTGACCACCAGAGGAACAGGAGACTGGTCAGGGCTCTTCTCCCTGAGACTGCACCAAGAAACAACAGGTTACACACAACTGGTACACAGGACTGGTCCTGCCTTACATGCGGCCTCCAACTCTTGAATTTACCCACACAAGCTGTACTACATATGATCTTGCTATCCCCATCCCTGGTTCAGCCATTATTCCAGCCTTCTATCCTCTTCACCCATCATGTTACATCATTCACTGGAGCAACTATGAGCTCATTACTAGACTACAGGAACGTTTTTTCCATCCTCTGTAAAAATCTCAACCTGTATATGCCAGGGCAAAGGGTTTCCCAGAAGGCAAGGATGCTAGTTATGAATCAGGTGAAAAGGTTTACACTTCCTTTTTCTTTCCCCATAGGAGCAAGGGCAGAAATAAGCTGACACACGAGAAAAAATAAATTTGGCCACCACATTTCTGTGACAGAAGATTTATCAACAAAATGGCCCTCAGGCAAAACCTCATGACACCAAGGTGCTCCCTGCCACCCTCACATTTGATTGTCCAGACCACTCGATAGCTGGGAGCTGTTGACCCCTCCCAGGCTGCTAACAAGCTCAGGCAGCACGGCACCACAGCAAACACCATCTGGAAATGTTGCACTGAAGCTGGGGAATGTGTTCCCAGACTGCCTCAGAGGATGTGTCTAGCTACATAGTACTGGCTCCTCCTCATTCCCCAGGGAGGCAAAACCACACTCAGTTAAAAATACCTTCAACAGTTACTCAGTATTACCAGCCCTTGCCAGCGTCTGTTTGCCTTTTTCACTGCGCAGGAATGGGGAGTGGGGTTCACTACAAGGCTGAATAGAGGTGCTTTTAAAATAGAATTTATGATTTCAAAAACAACTAGGAAACAAATCTGCAGTGCTGCTCAAAGCAGCATAGTCCTAAAGAGAACCCTGTCAGCCTCCTACAGACATCTTTTGCTCAAGAGAAAGTTTCCAGTGCCGTAAAGTCGTCCCCATGGCTCTTATTTTGCTCCTCCCTTAGCGACCCTAAGTTGCAAAAATAATCTAACCCAGGGATCAAGAGGATGGAACTGAAATTACTTAGTCAGGATCTGGACATGAGCAGAGAGTTCCTCAGGAAAATGATTGAAGTTTTGTAGGAAGTCTGAACTGCAAGAAATTTCGCAGCCATTTTCTGCTGTTGTTCAGTAATAAATACAGTGACCTCATACCAAGCAAGTCAGGGCAAAAGCAACACAGTCCAGAAATACTCACTGCTGTAGGGAGACTCCAAACTGCTGGTTTGGTAGTGGTGGGCGTGGGGGTGTTGGCTTCTGGGGCACTTGCAAAGGTTTCTGCAGGGATCTCAGGTATTCATCATACCTGCAGCAAAACACAGACTAGTAAAAAGGCACTCCACCTCCCAGAAAGTGCATGAACCCAGCACTGCACACCCACTGGTAGCAACACCAGACTGGTACGGTCAATTACACCTATGCAAACCACCACAGGCAGCTTTGCAGCACAAGAACAAACATCTCGTTGCCAAAAAAAAAAAAAAAAGCAGGGAGAAAAGGAGTATCTATCTGATCAAGAGGTGGAGTAGCTGAGTAACAACATGGGCAGGAGGCCAGGACAGCATTGTGATGAGACAGATGCATTTGTGGGTGTGGGACAGGGAAGCAATCTGGTAGGGCTGAGATTATGGGAACTTTGGGAAGCCCCAAAGACAAGCTGAGCAGTGCAGAATGAGCTAAGCAGGTGACCAGATGACAGCAGATGCACACCACGAGCTCCAGGTCAGTATCAAGGTCAGTATCTTGCAGGAAGTCCCCAGAGGGTGAGTGGGAGATGCAGGATTGGTGCCTCATTGCGGGAGAATTTTTAACTCAAAGACAGAACTGGGGACTGGGGCCAAGGACACACAGGAAGGACTATAGAGAGAAACCAGTCTTGAAGGCAACTTGACAGTACACCCTGCAAAACCTGAGTGGAACAATCTCTTCCTTCCCTTGCCCAAAAGGTCCCCTCTCACAGAACCCTAGGCGGGGGGGAGACAGACAGTATTCTCACTTTAGCACTTGGCTTGGGATCCCCAACTGTTCCAGCTTCACATACTCCTCCAGCTCACTAAGGTAATTCACATAAAAAATCTTTCGTCCAAATTTAAAACTGAAAAACAAGAGAAAGGTAGATATGTGAGGAATTGGGAAATCCAGTAACAGAACTGACTTCTTACAGAAAAGGAGTGCAGAGGGCTGTAAGAAAAATCAGTGGGGCAAAGGGTAGGTATGGCTGAGCAGCAGAGATGTCACCCACATCGCCCTCCCACTCCATCTATTTTACCAGGAGATGCAAAGACTTTCCAAGGTACATTAGAAGCCCTAGCAGGCTCCCTCAAATGGTGGATTTCTCCTTCCTTTGTTCAGCAGTAGGCTTGAGAAGATTTTACTCCCAATTATTTCATGGAGTTATTATTTCAGTAACACAATAAATTAAATATTTGAGTTATAGAGCCTGTAACTTTTTACTTCTACCTGGCTGGAGAGAAAAGGAGTAGCACAGAGTTGCAAACTCTGTAGGTTCCTAAATACCTACTCTGTAGGTATTTCTGGTGTGCGAGTATTTCTGAGCTCAGAAGGGGGATGAGACAGAAAAAGGTGAGAGATTCCAGGATAGGCTTGGCAGCCTGGGCTCAGCTTGTGCCCCCTCTGAGAAGGCCCCATTGTTCCCCTGCAATGTGAACATGCAGGTGAGCCTCCAACAGTGTTTCCTTCGTACCTGATCAGAGGCTTGAAGAGTATCAGCAGGGTCTTGATGAACATGGTTGGGTGCACGATATACAAGGCTTTGATGTTCTTCTTGTATCTGTCAACAGAAGCCCAGTAATGACAAGCTGTACTTTAAGCAGAGGAACCAACCTTTCCACAAGATTAGGGTGCCCTGGTTGCTTCATGCCTTTTGCACTGAGCCTCACCACACCCCAGCACCCATGGCCTCTGCTCTCCCATGCTCTGTAGTTGTGTCAGGCCACTCAGCAGCCTAAGGTCATGCTACCCTGTATTCCAATTTTCATCTAAAATCAGTGAGTAGCCTCCTCAGGAACCTACAATTATACCGTGGGGCTGACACACTTGCACCAGGTCCTGGGTTTGCTGCTTGCCTGTTGGCCTAAAGCATGTAACTACAGAAGGAGCTGTTTAACCTATGTTTCAGTCTGTGTTAAACAACAATCCACCTCCTCAAGCAGAGGAATAAGTGACAGTAAATTATGTATACACCAAGCTACACAGGAGGGCTGGGGAAGATCCTCTATGTTAGGGTACAGAACAGCACAGGACTTCCTTGCTTGCTGCAGCTTTACTCACTTGCGATCAAATTCCCTGTAGGCATCCCGCAACCAGCTCAGGGATGGCTTGTTCTCACTGGTCAGGCCATGGTGCAGGTACACCAGAGTGTAGTCACTCTCCACATACTGGTCCAGTGTGAATTTCAGGTACCTGAGAAGAAAGAACTGATGAACTCAATTTGTGCTCTGCTACAGAGAGCCTATTCCTCCCTTTGGGACTCTTTTTGTGTGCCATAACAGAGGATTTGCAACTCCAGCAACAGAGGTAAGCACTTGGGATGACATGTCCAGCTAAAAAAGCTACTGCAGATGGATCTGTCCCCAGGAATCCAGTATCTGAGAATTAGGTCAGATTTAAGAAATTAACATCAGCCTACTAAGATTCTACTTACCCCAGCAGTTTCATGTGATCTAGTTGATGACTTGGGGGCATCCGGCAAGCACTGAACAAAATTACTTTTCTTCCATATTTGTCATCACCTGCAGATAAAATGCAAGAGATTACAGGGAGGTAAGGACTTCATTGTGGTATTGGCAGCAAGGGGTAAAGAAAGAATGAGAAACCATCATAATAAGGCACAGCTGCCAGCAAAGCTAAATCTGATTTTCAGCAGTTATCATGGGCCTAGTGTGGAAGCAGAAACCTGAACGCCAAGGGCCTGGCAAGTCAACAATGAGAATCAAGAACAGATTCCCTGCTCCAGCCCTGAAAGGAGATGAAGGACTGAAAACCAGAATGCCTCCAGGCACATAGGCACAAATACAGAGCAGAGTGCTCAGAGCATTAATCCTGCAAAGCTGTGCCTGGGCATTGCTCCTGATACACACATGTCCAGGGGGCACAGGGAAAACTGCCCTTCACTGGCACAATAACTCTTTCCATCCTGCACACAGTCCCAGACTAACTTCTAATAGTCTGGTGCATCTGTTTTTTGCTTCACCTGGAGTTTAGTTCTGCACACAGAACACAGGCCATTTCATACCCTGGAAATCAAGAAATTCCTAGAAAAAGAGCAGTTCCAGATAAGAACTCTTCTGGATGAGTTCCAGATAATTTCTCATCTTTCCAAAGGAAAGTCTCTTTGACAGATGGGCCAAGTAGGGCTGCTGGATTCTCCAGAAGGATTGTAGAATAAGCTCTTCACCGCTTCCTAGATTTTCCATCCACAGAGAGATTTTTCCAGCCTGAGACAGAAGGAGCTGCAAAGTGCAGCACGACAAAGCATTCTTTGTAAAAGCCATGCAGAAAACAGTCCCCATCACACTGGAGCCAAATAACCCATAAAGCACCGTCATGTCATGGAGGACACTCCCAGGCACCACTTGAGGCTTCAGAGACAACAAGCCAAGTTTTCCCCAAAGCAAGTCTTCAACCATCAGTGGACTTCTGCCAGCAGAGATCTCAGCCCCATGAACAAAGCCCAAGCAGACACGCATGGCCAAGCTTAGCAGACATGCTGGGGAATAGAGAGATTTGCATAAGTGAGAACCAGGTCACAAATCCTGCAGACATACAGAGTTTGAGGAAAAGTCTGATTCTCTCCCAGACACAACACCCAATCCATTTCCACAAAGATGACTTCTTTTTTGCAGCATTGGAGATGAAATGGTTCCTTTAGTATTAAGGGTAAAAGTCTTCCCACCTTTTTAGCTACTCACCCTGCTCTGAAACCTGTGTTTTCTTGTCAAGCAGAGAGTGCAACAGTGAATGGGGCTGTTGAGGCTATAGTCAACAATACCCTCCTTACTCCCATATGGTAAAGCATCTCACACAGACCACGGCACAGAAAAGCAGCAAGGATCACTACCTATGCAGGACTGACCTGCAATACATCATTCCTCTTGAAATATATCCTTTTCCCAGCATGGATTTACAATATTCATGCAGCCATTTTCTAAGCTTTGCACAGGCTCTGGCGCTCAACTGTCATTTGGCTACACTTGCCACGCAGCAGCTGGGGTCTCGGAACAGCAAACCTGATATTTCTGGGAATGCTGCCTGTTAGTACCAGAGGACCACTTGGTGCTGCAAATGGCAGCCAGAGAACTCATACACACCAGCAATGACATTAAGATGCCCCTGGCCCCTTTTTGCCCCCATCTTGCCAGAACAGATTCTCTTGCTACTTTGTTCATTTTTATTTTCATCTTGCAAATCCCATTTTCAAGTCACCAGACAACACAGAACTTAGTGATGCACACAAGGCAGAAGTTGTACCAAAGCTAAGGACACTGAGGCAGCACTAGGAACGGGCCAGCAAAGGGCGGCACAGGCCATCACACTGACACACACATGCGGAGATACGGGCAGGGGGAGGGTGCACGACCTGGAATGCAGGACTAGGAGAGTGATGCAAGGCTCGTCTGGAACAACCAGGTACAGCCACAGCCAGGCCACAAGACCAACATCACACTGCATATCCCATGGCAGCCCACTCTGTGCCTACCCCAGAGTTTCTTGGTAGCTCACTGTGAGCATTAGGGACAGGTCTAATGTAAATGAGTTGTCTAAAAGACTAAGTGCCAGTTACAAAGTCCTGGGCAAGGAATATGGCATATTGTGATCCTTCCCATTGGTCTTGAGCAACTCATATGTCTCTATCTGAAAGACAAAGGCCTGTATAAAGCATCAAGAGGATGCAGCACTTGAGAATCGGTTGAGTTTTTTATACTCATGAAAGAGAACGGCCAGAAAGACAACAGATCTTTGCAGATCATATGTAGCTTTATGCTAAATTCAGAACAGATTATATCTTCAGTTAACTGAGGCTGCATTTCACACCAGAGTGGATGGTCTGAGGGCCAGATGCAGACTTCAAGTTTAATCACACACACAGACCTCTGTGGTGTGCAGTGCAGTACCATGTTTGTGCCATGCTCTGGGTGGCCATACGCTCAGCTCAGGCTTCTGGGCACTGATTATCAGACCTGACAAGCCACAATTCCAGAACGACATACCTTAAATAGCTTTCTCTGAAATTATATAAAAGCCTACAGCAAGGCCTATGCAAAGTCTACAGTCTTGTTCCTTACATAGTCTGGGATCGCTGGTAAAGAATAAACAGACAATCCATGACTCTTCCAAAGAGGAGATGGCATGTTTCTCCTGGACAATTTCCAGGGCCAAGTACATGAAAAGATAATCTACAGTGCCCTGGATGACTGAAAAAGGAGTGGCCTGTTTTGCCTTCCAAATCAGAATGAATTTATGCATGAGACCTAGAAAGGAACCAGCATGCCCTTTTCCGAGTTCTGGGTTTTGCTCCAGTTTCATCACACTGAGCTCAGCCTGTGAACACAGAGATTTTCAAAATGATCAACTGCCAATCTTGTTTCCACCTGACATATATCTGATCAGTCTCCTTGCTCCAGACATGACAAAATCAAAAATTCAGCATCAAAGCTGAACAATCAGTTGCTCCAATTTATAAACAAGAACCTAAAGCCCATTCCATGTATTCTTGTTGGAGGAAACTACCTTTGGGTGGCCCCTCTGCCTCCTACAGAACAGATTCTTATCAGGTTTGATCTTTCCCAGATGCTCCATCCCTTGTACTATTTGCTTTCCTGTTGGCAGCATTAATCTTATGTATCTAGGTTTTCACCCCTTGTTTGCAATTGCAAATAGCTGAAGTTTCCACTGAACACAACTACAGATCATGAAGTAAACACTTGGCTTCTCAGGCTGCCTCCTACCTCTCCCAGATGAGGAATGCTCAATAGCGAACAACAAACGAATAACAAATTATATACCATCAGTATTCAAAGAACACCCCAACTTAAAAAATATTTTCAAGTACACTGGAATTAAACTACCTCCCTGAAGGATGTGATTCAGATTATTTTGCTTTTAACAACAAAGAGCACGACAGTAGCCAATATCTAAAGCCAGACAAGACAGCTGCTCATCTAAAGAGATATGCAGTTGTAGCGCTGATTGACATAAGCTCCTGAATATTTTTATGGCACTTTTAAGGCCTGAACTGCATTTTTCTTCTCGCTCAAAAAGCAGCATTTCCAGGGCACTTTTAAGACAGGGGCAAGGAAAATCACTGCTGTGTGTCCAAGCCATGAGTGCAAGGCCAAACTTCTAAAAGGGCTGAAATTAAAATACTGAGGCAAATGTTTCAGATTAAAACCTGCAGCAATACAAATGTATCACAGCAGAAATTCACATCAAGATGGCAATAATGTCCCAAGATAGGGCATTAAATGAATCTGCATAGCCAAAAAATACACAAATCTGCACATGGAAAATACCTCCTTGGCATGCAAATCCTGTTATTTACTATTTCTAGGTAAATAGAAATATATTCATTTCATATCCTGAAATACATCCTGTAGCATTTATGTCATGATTTGAGGCAGCCTAGCTGCAGTCTAGAGACTGCTCAGTCCTACCTTCACCAGGTCGCCTCAGTTAGGTGCCTATCTTGTTGAAAGATTCATATGGGAATATCCTAATACTTTGATACTTGGACAATGCAGATGGATAAAACTTGCCACCAAAAGCTAGTGCTACTGCTAAAACAGCAAAGTTAACAGACTTGAGGGCCAAGGAAAGAGCACCACTACAGAACACTGGAATATTACTACACAAGTTTCACAAAGCTTAGCATGTTTAATCAGAGCCACTGTGAGTAAAAAACCTGTCAAATGTAATTTCATTTCAATTAGCTGCACTAGGCTTGTGGCACAGCTGGGAAATGTTTAAGTATAGTAGATTTTAGTTGCCTATTGAATTCCCACGTGGATTTAGCCCTGAAGGAAAAGAAGGTAGGGAGTTCAAAGCAGAAACATTTTAATACATTATTTCATCCACCTGGATATTCCCAATATCCAAACGCTGCCAGAATCAGAAAGCCTTATGAAGTGAATTTAGCTTTAACTGATACAAAAATATACTAGAGGGTCATATTAAAGAATGCAGTATGGGAGGATGTCTGAGAGCACAGAAAAAGGGGAAGAAGACTCCACATAACGAGGAAATGAGAATCAGCATTTCCATGAATTGTGTGAAGGTCTTAGCAGTAAGAATTTCACACCAATAGAAGTTTTCATGTACATTGAGAAGCATGAAAGCCCCAGCAGCCAAATTACTGAGACTTAGGACTGAAGTCCGGAGAGTATTAACAAATGCTCAGCAAGCCCAGGGAACTTAAGCACAGCTTTGGGCAAACAAGTTATAGAACACAACATCTCTGCAGCCAAATGGAGAAGAAATAGATAACAGTTGCTTTCAGATGGAGAATCCAGTTAAAGTGCCAGCTGCTTAGCACGTGAGTGCAGCAGCAGATCATGTGAAGGAATAGGAAGCAATCCTAGAATGAACTTCCAAACCACATACGATAACAGGATGAACTGGAGTTCAAACTGAACTGGTCCAAGCAGGCCACCACCATGACAGGACAGGAACAGGATTTACATTGAGACCCATGAGCGCCAAAGTGCCCAAAGTAAAGCCCACACACCAAATTTGGCTCAGATGATTCTGCTGTGTCTGAGGCAGAGGTGCAGTCCTCAGACAACAATTTTGTGCAGTCTTTGAATTCCTGAAAAATTGCCAGTGCAGCCTAAGGCTGAGCAAAGTTTGGGCTCCCCTGAGACAGTCCAGCTACAGGCCACGGTCATGCTAAAGGAATACCATGATCTACAGAACCAAATGTTAGCGCCACAAAAAATCTACCTACCTGGTTGGGCCCCATCAAGTGCACCCTGGTCTGGAGGAACAGAAAAAAAGTTATAGCAAGCCAAGCTTTGCATCCTTTCCCAGGAAGTACTCATGAGGTTAAAGTCTGAGAGCCTAGCCAGATTGCCACCGGGACGCATTTAGCTGCTGTCTTGCGGGATTCAACCTCCTTCCATTTCATCTTCCCCCCATGCTCCTCTGCAAAAAGCAACCTTATCTAACAATTAGAGGCAATAACAGCAAGCCTTGATTCCCAAATCTTCTTTTTGAATTTCCAACTCTGTATAATCAAATTTCTTGCCCTTACTGTTAGACTTCCTCTGCCACCAAAATGGTAACCGCTGTAACCCACTTTTAAAAGGGTTAATTGCAATTAATTCTGAAGTCCTCTGAACAACTTCAGAAGTGCACAGAGAATGGCATCATACCATATGAATAACACATCCCACACCCATAACTTTTTTCCATGATTAGTAGATTCTGAGTAAAAAAACTGAACAGCCAATTAGAATTTTAAAAAGGTTCCTATAGTTTATGAAGGCATTTATTATCACACCTAGCCCCTTTCCATCACTCTCACAGCTATATACTCAGCAGACTCACATGGGCCTATCAAGACAGGAGCCTTTGCAGAGCAGAGCTCTAGGAAGAAATTCTCCATTCCCTTATAAACTTAAAATTCCTTAGATGCTCTTCCTTCCCTTGACCTTGCATATCAAAATATGGTGCACAAGCTCAGCTTGCTTTGAGTCTATAGACTCAATTCTATAGAGGCAATTAATATTTTTTATCATACAAAATATTCTTAAAGAAATGAACAAACAAAACAGTTAAAAGCTGGAAACTATATCCAAAAGCAGCAGAAATGCAGGCAGTCTGTGCTGATGGAGCCAGTAACAATGTACCATGCCTGAAAAGTACCCTTGTTACCCTTTGCTGAGTCCATTAGCCACCAAAGACACCCTGCAAAACATCTTCAACACAAGTTTTGTCTGCCACTTCTACCTTTGCCTGCTTAGAGAAACAACAGCTACTGGTGCTCCAAGATTGATGTTACCTCCCCATGTCAATCACCAACACCTACAGCAAATCATCAGCACCAGTTACAGCTTTGGCACCTGCAGTCATGTTTGTTGGGTAGGTTTGGAACCAGATTCACCAATGAAAATAGATTTACTGCTGGAATTGCAGCTTCAATCCAGTAACACAAAAGAAGGTACACTCATAGCTCTCCACCTTGTTTTCCCACTTCAGTTACAGGTCTCACACGTATTGGCGTCACAGCTTTACTGCGAAGGCAGCCCCACAGATTGACAATTAATGGTGTGAGGCAGCAGATTTCCCACACAAACTAGCAGAAACATGCTTTGAGCTCCAACAAAGTTTAGAAATCACTGGGCAGGGATTACATAGCTGGAGTATATAGTGACAGCCACTTTCCTGACCAATGATACACTATCTTCTACCCTCCATGGCAGTGAGGAATTCATATGCCAATATATGTTAGGTCCCTGTTTTCTTATCCCAAAAGAAAGCAAGGCAATTACTGTGTAAAATGGGAACACTGATGAACCTCATAGCCATAGTTTTGCATATTGACCACAAAGAAAAGACCAGTATTTCAGACTGGGCAGCAGAATGAGGATGGAACACCTTGCCAGAGCTGACAAGAGCTCTGCTCTTCCCACACAGCCACAGGTTTCCAGTATGAACTGTCATTTCCAGAAACCTGCTTTAGACTATTATTAACTACCTGCCTTAGTTTTGCAAATCAGCTTCTGCTAAAATTCAAGGCCAAGGCTATGTCACATCTGCCTCAACCCCCAAGAGAATGGAAGCAGCACCTTTGCCATGTAAGAACTGGCAGGAGAACACAGAAACTCTCAACATAACAGAAACTTGGGATAGTTCCTTAACAGCTCTCAACCAGGAGCTTGTGTTTCCTCCAAATTCTATGTGACATGAGCAAGGGAAAAAAACAAGTGGACTGTGCAATGAAATCAAGCAGAAGTGGACTGTGCAACGAAATCAAGCCTCCTCTCTTTCAGCTTCAGGCCATGTGTAAACAGGAATTTCACTGCTACAGCGCTCACAAAAAGAGGCACTCAGAATCAAGAAGAACGAAACCACAGAGACCTCTCCAGAGCCTGTGTAAAACACTCCATAAACACACACTTTAAGGCAGATCTGAAAGGAACAACACCAACATCTTCCTTCAGAAAAGCATCAAGTCCCAGAACCAAAAGAATGTTTCCTTAAACCAAAATATTGTGATTCCTAACAATACTCCAGTTCTGAGAACTCCCTCAGGACTGTGGCCCAGATGCCTTTTGCTGACATCTTTGTGCAACACAGCACCACATGGGACAGCAGTGACATGCCTGCTCCTTTCCCATGGGCAGCCTCTTCCCACAAGATCCTAGTCCCCAGAAGAGACAGGAGCAATAGGGCACAAAGGAGAGTCTCCATGAAACCACTGCACTATTTTTAAGTGAGAAACAACCCCCAAAAACTTATTTTCCGAACAAATTCTGCAAAAGGTTTTTCAGTACTTTCCCCTCTTAGGTCAGATAGCCAGACATTTCAAATGAAGCACGCCTTGGACTGAATTAAGGCCAGCTAGAAAATGAGCGTGCTAACTTTTTAACATCAAAACTGGGCTTTTATTAAGTTATTAACTCAATGCACACATCCAGCAAGAAGCAATTACTTTCTGACCACACAGGATAACACTGGGATCATGAAGTTCAGCCTGAGGATGGGAACCAGCCTTCTGCTTTTGTCTCAAAATAGCACCATCATCACAGAACATATTTCAGGGCAGGCAGGAACAGAGTTAGCCACAAACTTTCTGCTCTGAATTGCAGAACAGGGAAGGACATGGGACAGAAAGCTAATGAATCAACAGAGTGGACAAAATAATCCTTGATCTGCTGCCATTTGCTAATATTTACAAGAGATCTAGGGTAATTTTGGTTCAGGCTCAGCATAGCCAGTGTTCATTGCACCTGGAGCTGACACAATTTGTCAGCAGAGCCACATCTGAACAGTTTCATATTAATCCTCCAGTGAGATTTTTATTCTCCAGGCTACCTCTAATGGGATTTTCCCAGACTTTCCCAGATTAATTGCCTCCAACAACAATCCAGAGAAGACCACCCTGTCCGATACTCTGAACAGTTAAAATTCTCAATTACTGACCAAAAAAAAAAATATCAGCTTCCCCAGAACCAAGATTATAAGTCAGATGCCTTTGATCCACGTCCTAAATTCTCCTTTCAGGAGATGAGAAACCAGCAAGTCTCAAACCTACATGGCAGCAAATCCTCTATCTGGAGCTGTGCTCCAAGCTCTCCCAGCACCAAGAAAGGCATCACAGCACATGCCATGTGTGGGACCATCACATGCTTCCAGACACATCAGCTACCCGTGAAAACTGGCCGGCAAGAGCCAAGAACAGAAGCTTCTCTGAGCTGTTTCTGCACTATTCAGAGACATTGCAGGGACACAGAGCTCACTAGGAATACAAATTTAAACCACAACGGGGAAGAGTTCAGAATGCAGGCACAGCTCCCAGTCAGCCATCATCCCACCCCGGAATCTTTTCAGGAAGCTGGCTAATTCTTCATTTGCTACCCCAGACTGTGTCAAATGGCCAAATGGCTCCGTTCCAACAGCCACTGACACACACCTCCACTGGAGCCATACTCCATTCAGAGACCTTGTCAAAGAAAAAGTCATGTTACCTTGGAACAGAAATCCCTCAGAAAGAGTGGTGTTTATCCCAGGAGGCAGCAGACAAAGTATATATCCTTGGTTTGGGCTGACATTCCAGTCATATCAATGTCTCTGATCTAAACTCTGCTAAGCACTTGGTCTGAAACTTAGCCTAAAGCAACAACTGTTATGTTTAACTCACCCTTTCCCACAGTCCTCAAATACCTGTGCCATTCACATTCCAAATATTCTGGCTATTACTACTGAAATGGTGGAGCCCACACATCTGTCCCTTTCCAGTTCCAGCAGCAGAGACCAGGGTGCAGACCTCTATAACTGGCAGTCCTGAAACTCCAGCCCCATGGAAAAGAAGCTTAGCAAAACATTTGCAAATGAAAACACTTCTGGCAAACCTATAAGGCATAACAGCCCAAATGTCAAACACCTGGCTTGTCAAACTGAGCAGGAAAACAATAAACAACAAGGTTTTGAGTCTGCCATTATAATTTTGTTCCACAAAAGATGGAACATGAGAGATCAGGAAAAAGAAAGTTCATTTGAGAAAACTGCCTAGAAAAGAATGATATCAAGACAACTCTTACCAAAGTAAGTGCCAGAGACTCTTTTCGTTGTGGTCAAACTCTGCTGCAGAACAACCCTGAATCAGGAGGACTCCAGCTTGTGCCTCTGCTTCCTTGATAATTCACATGTGGGGCAGGGACCAAGTTACAGAGAGATGGCAGTAGGAGGGGTAGGAGGTGGCAGCAGGAGGGGTAGGAGGTGGCTATAGTCAAGCAGGAAGTATGAATCAAGTCACAACAAGTTGTAGAAGTGCTTCTTTTTTAAAAAAACAAGGAATACAAGACAAAATGGCCTTACCCTTCACTCAGGCTCACCACAGCAACCTAAAGAATCCTCCAAAACTCTTTCTCATAGAAGTCCCCAGCAGTATATCACCAAGGGTTAGCATAAATAAAATAATATGGACAAGAAAACACAAGGAAAATCCAAATGCTTGTGACCCTGAATGATCAGGTCTTTCCTTGCAGTGGAACACAGACCTATTCCCCCTACTTCAGATTTCTGTACATGTTATTTCTGGACAGGATGGCAAGCTCTGGCCGTTCAGATACAAGTGATTCCACCCACTGTGGATTACTCAGTCAGCTGAGGACCTTATAACTGTATTGCTTAACTACATAACTTCTGTGGCATTATCAAGCAAAAACCACTTTTGTGTTCAGGATGTAGTAAAGAGCCATATCTAAAACAATTCAGCAAAATCAACTGAGTCCTGACAATAATATAATCAAGTCAGCAAGAGCCAAGAAGTAACCCAAGTTTAGCTGAAGTCAATGGAAAATTATACGTATCACAAACATTCAAGAAGTTTGGTGTTCTTTCTGTGCCACCTGTCATTGCCACTTGGTCTTGGCAAACAACAGCTGTTCCCAAAGCCCTATTAGAAAAGTCCTTCCTCAGCCCAGCTGCAAAGACATCAAAGGAGAAAACAGGAAGGTTCCTACCTGCTACTTCCACAATGTGGTGCCTGGCGATATCATAGTAGGGATGATCCCACTGCAGGTGAGTGACAGGCTCAGGGGAGCCTTTGGAGTCATCTGAACAAAGTACAAGAAACAAGCAATCAGAAGAATGGATCTGGAGCACATTGGAGAGTACAGAAAGATAGAAGTATAAGAAAAAATGGCACTTCTACATGGGACTAATGTATGTAACTATACACCTTGAAAACCCACTTTTGAAATTCTGAGTGGACATGGAATTCTGAGCAATGACTTCAGAAGAGTCCTCTCAGTCCTATGAGATCCATATGTGTCCCTCAGAATGTACACTGCCTCAAACAAATGTTCAAATATGTCACGAATATTCACAAAGACAAAACCCAAGGACATGGTCATGGCTTTTTAGGGAAAGGAGGATCTTAACATAGTCCCTTGATGGATGGTCATACTATATATCCTTGAGCTAATTTTCCTGACCTCTCTGTTCATAGTTCACAGCACAGGATTTCAGAGCAACAACTCAGATCTCCAGCCCCACCTCCCAGATGGAAGTTTGAGACCATTCCAGTCCAGAAGGCCAAACTTTCCTGCAAGAGACCATAATGGAGCATGCTCAAAGATTTACAGCACATCTATTCTGTCAGCACCAAAATGCAGCCAGGCACAGGACTGAGAAGAGCATATTTACAGCAGCTGGCTCTGCACTTTTTAGTGCTGTTCAATACTGAGGCTGATTCACTTGGGTGTGGTGCAAGTTTAATGCACCTATAAAGCTTTTAAATGGAGCTGGGGCTCTCTGTTTATGTAGATAAGACCACAATGCTGCAAGACAAACAACTGCTTTTTGGCCAAAACCCAGATCCCAAACAAGCAGGAAACTTACCTGATTTGGGAAAAGCAGGGACTTCATCTGATGGCCAGTTCTTATCATCTATGGAGGGGGCCAGTTTGAGCTGGCTGAGGGACTGGTTGGCATCATCCAAGCTCAGGTCATCCTGAAGATCTGTGAGCGGGTCTGCAGCCATGGTCCCCAAACACCGCAGTTTATTTCGCTGTGTCTAAACACGGACTGCAGAGACTGTTAGGTGAGACACAGAGATCACAAATCTACCTCCCCACAGAGACACTTCCTCTTCTCACCGATTTCCCCCCAATACTCCCTCATCCTTACTTATCCAGAGATCGTGTCCCCTCCCCCTTAATACAAGCAGGAACTCCTCCTCCTCCTCGCCAGAGGCACAACCTAGCAGATTCTTTCACGCCAATTGCTATCAAAAGCCATCAAGAGCTGTACCAACCCTCTCAAGGAATCTCTGCTTGACCACAGCTCTGGGCAGAACAGTTTTTCTCTCCTGAAACAGAAGCAGCACCAGGACTCTGCAGAAGGCGACAGGCTGCACCAGCCCCTGCCTGATACACTCCCTGTATGGCTCTGAGCTCCCCCTCCCTCCGAAGGGCTGGCACAAAGCCCGGCTGTTTCCACGGTTGGCCCAGTACTGGAAGCTTTCCCAAGAATCACCCCCCTCCTTCTCCCCATAATGGAGAACCAGAGCTCTCAACAACACTGAAGTGCGTGCTTCAGTGTGCTGCGATCTGAACAGAGAAGTGAACAGCTCCTCAAAACAGGAATTTTTTAGGCGGAGCTAGTAAAACAGGGAGAACAACACACATAGAATCCTCATCTCCTTTCAGCATCACCCAGTAAATCCTTTCTCCTACATAATAGCTAGAAGCAAGGAATCACTTCTTTCATTTAAGGCCATACTGCCTGAATGAGTATTTTTCACCAAGCATGGAATAAGCAGACCAAAGAATTAAAAGGGTCCGAGAAACACACAGCTCACTGCGTTTGCTGCTGTTTGCAAATATTTCTCACTCTCATCTGAAGCAGAAGATACATTAAAGCTGGGACTGAGCTAGCACAGCATACAGGACCTCCTAAGAGTACCAACTCTTAAGAACAATCCTTGGGAAGCTGCTGTTATCCTCTGAATTCAGTCTCCTGGAAGTAAGCAAGGAAACATTAAAAAGGACAACTATGTAGATCTGGACTGCTCACACTGACCACGTGGACAGTAATTCAGTGGTCAGCAGGCAGCAAGCCAAGAGGAAGTGTAGAAAAATCAAGTGACACCTTGCATCAGCAAGAGTCTCTGCAGCACTGTTTCACAGCGACGCTTGCGCTTACTTTGCTTTATAAGGAGAGCAAAGGGTTCAAAGATGATCTGAGACACAACACCTTAGTGTGAAAAGTATATTCACAGAAAAGCTATTTCCTTTAGCAGAATGGAGAGGGGGACGATGTTTTGCATCTTCCATCCCTGGAGCTTGAATGTGTATATTTATGCAGAGGAAACAATGAAACAGTTACTCAGACTGAGCACAGAGGACAAAACCTATGAGAGACTGAGCTCTGGAATGTGTCACATCCATGCTCAGGTCTATACTTGCCACCAAGCTTGAGAATGCATTTTGAGAGCACAGCAAATTGGATATTCAGCGGTTTTCTTCTCCCTCTGGACCATTGCAAGCTTATTATTTACTTCCTATCCTCCCTTATCTGCTACTCACCAGTTTACAATCAGTTTTCACCTCTCCAGGGCTCCCAAAGGACTGAAAGCTATTGCTAATCAAATGCAATGCTTCCCGAAATACAAAAGACATGACATATACAGACAGCAGGTCTTCAAAAAAACACATCAGACACACAGGGTCCCACCACTGCAGCCATGCAAAGATCCAAGCAAAATTATTTTCCCTGCCCTCTGGTCAGGGCTGCCAGAGCTGCCTGACCTCCTCTGATATCAACAGGACAAGGAGCAAGAAATTGCGTTCCCCAGCACTTTGAGCTCATGCTGGAACCACGCAGCAGTGGAGCCAGGGACCAGGACTCCCCACCCCTAGCAGCTGATCCGATTTCTATGGTAACAGCAGGCACTGACTCCCATGACTCAGCGAGCTTAAAGCATTTCCCACAGGAGCTCAGCAGCCCCAAAAGCCAGTGCTCCATGCTGAGGAAGCATCCATGGCTCCCCAGGACAGCCTCTCATCATTCACAGCACTCAGGGACTTCCCAGCCCTAGTGGCGACAGAGGACCCACATTTCACTGCTGCCATCCACTGAGATGCCTTTCATGGGAGATTCTTGGGGATGCCTGGTAGCAACCACTTCCCCAAAGACGAAACACCTGGAGACCAAATCCTCCCAGAGAGCAGTGATGGTACTGCCATAGGGCCAGCAAGTCACCAAGTGTCCCCACACTTGTCTCTACACTCACCACTCAGCTTCACAGTCAACTTGCAGCACTTGACCAAAGACAGAAGAGCAGGTTATTAGACAGCACTGGGGGATTTCCCCTGAGGCATAAAATTTATCTTAGTGTGGCACCATGTGGAAGAAGGAAGTTGTTTGTTAGTAGGATCCACACCACAAAAAGAGCCCAGTGGATAGTGCTCTGGCCTCACCCCTTGGAAAAACAGACAAGGCTCTCCAGATACCTTCATGAAGTTTTCACAGCCAGCTCCATTCCTTGGCCGTAGGTTACTGCTCCATGGTGTTAATGGAAGCAGGATCCAGAGCAGAAGACCTCTTAGATTTCAGGTCCTTCTTGTGAACCATACTGTAGTACCCAGAGAGCCCCAGGAGATTTTGCAGATTTTTCTCCAGCCCTTTCCCAACATGCAAAAGGCAAAAGCACAGGATCTCACATCAGATAACCATACAGCAGTTTAGGACATGAAATCTTCTAAATGCTTGGGAACTAGGCTCTGAGAAGGAGAGAACTGGAGTTATCATGTAAAACACAAACTGAGGATCTTCATATAAGGATATACATTTCACTTTCCAATAGTGAAGCTGCATGAGATGCTTCCCTGTGTACTCAAAAATGATCCCTAAGGATCTGTCTTTAAACAGAAAGTCCATATGTATCATGGTGATATAGCTGTTAAAATGAGTAAAGTGTTTGTTAAATCATTTCATGTTTTTTAACAATAAAAGAGCATTTCAACAGATTTAACTCCATTTAAAAACTGCATCTGTTTTACATAAATGTCATGACAAGATGTAAGTGGTACACTCCATATAGCAAATAATTAGATAAGAAAAATTACATACCTAGATTTTGAAAAGCAAAAGTTGTAGCCAAAGATTTAAAACCTTAAGAATCACACATGGCAGCAGAAGCATCTACTTACTGCCAAGCTCTAAAGACCCAACTGTTACCTTTTTTTCCAAGTATTTAAGTATGTTTTCTGCAAATGCACTACACCTGAACACTTGCTGTGTAATAAAAGTTAACTTTCCTAGATAAGAGAGACATGTGATGGAGAACAGCACACTCCACTAAAGGAGAGAACTCAAACCATACAATATTCACAGAAATTCTGAACTGAAAATTCCTTATATAAGATCCAGAATTTACCCAAGGAAGACCATTCACATTATACCCAGGAAATCATGGTGGCTGCTGTTCATGAAAACTATTTTTTTCTGCAATTTCATTTCACTATTTTTCTATCACTTATTTCTAAGCTACACCTGCTTGGTAGTTTCCTTTTCCTATTTTTCTTTGAGATGTACTATTAGTTCAGAAGTGAATTACACTTCAAAATATGTCCATGCATATATTACCACACCCTGGAGCTCTACATACAATAAAGAATTACAGAAGCCAAGTGACCTCTTCTTCCATGCAAGATGAACAAGCAATGGTCAGATGCAACATAGTCGTGGTTCCAGGATTATTTTTATGATTCTTTTGCCATCCACAACTCCCAGTTTCAGCCTATTTGCACAGATGTCTCTTTTTCTATACACATCAATCAAGCCCCTGCACTTTGCTACAGTGTTAAAAACAAGCACGTCGAAAGAAAAGGGAGCAGTTACTCAGCAGCAGACCTTCAGGGTACTCACGTGCATGAATGAGGTCCAGAACCGAGACTCACCCTCAGAGCCCACCCCTTGTCTTCCCTCACATCAAGACTGATGATACCACCGAGAGCATCACTACCCTGGCACTAGCCTGAAAGAACGTAGAGGCCAAGAGCCAGACCTTGTCCTGGCTCACCATGACCAGTAAACTCAGGACAGACACACTATTGCTCAGGGAAGCCTTTGGTCCTTCATTATTCCAACAACTTTTTAATTGAGCAGCATTCCTTCCCCAGTCACCTCAATCCGTTTATTGAAGGCCACCTCCGTGCCCGCTGGAAATCCACTCTAGCGAGGAGTCAACTTCCCCTTTGTTCTCTGCAGGGTCTGAGGGCAAAAGTGCTGAACTCTCCAAGTGTCCTCTCCGGAGCTGCTGCACAAAGTACAGAAGCTGCTCTCAGTGCCGCGCAGGACCCACCCCGGACTCGTGTGAGAGAGGCAGCGACGCACACACAGCCCAGCGCGGGCTGCAGCCCTCCTCCTCCTCCTCATCACCCCCTCCACAATACATCTGTTCTCTCCCGTTCCCTTCGACTCATCTCCTGGGAGACCCCTGAGGGAACCTCAAGGTTGCTCACGAGACTCACGGACTTACTATTTACACTGTTAAAACAAAGGTCCCCTAGTACACGGCAATTGCCTGAAGGCAGGACAAGTACCAGCCCCTGCTGCTGGGCACCGGGATTAATGGCAGCCAGCCCCAGCGCCAGCCCCGCCGCAGCCGCCGAGGTCGGGAGCAGCCAGCAGCAGCCCCGGTGGCGCCGCTCCGGCGGTACCTGCACCGCCTGCCCCGGCCAGCGGTGACGAGGACACCGCGGGCGGCCGGCCCGGCTCTCCCCGCCCAGGTGCCCGCGGCGCTTCACCAGCCGCGCTCTTCCCGCCAGGCGCGCACCGCGGACGAACCGAGCCGCTCCCTCACACAGGGCGAGCCCGGCAACACCCGGGCGGAGCGCTCGGGGCTCCGGGCCCGGCCCCGGCCCGTTTAGCCTCAGCCTCAGCCCCAGCCGCCGGGTCGCTCCTCCGCCCCAGCAGCACCAGGACAGGCCGCCGGACCCCGCTGCTGCAGGCGGGGCCCGGCCGCCTTCCCCGGGCACCCCACGCCGCCCCGCCGGTGCCGGTACCTGCCGCCGCCACCGCCCGCCCGTCACCACCGCCAGCCGGAAGCGCGGCCTCGCCGCCGGGGGATCCCGCCCCGCCCCGCCCGCTGCCGGCCGCCGTCCGGGCGCGTCCGCCGCTCCCTCGCAGCGTTCCGCCGGCACGGAGCGCCCGAGGCCGAGGGGGCGGCTGCGGAGGCGCGGGGGGCCCGGGCCACCCCCGCAGGCAGAGCCCCTCGTAGGTGCGTGCCGAGGCCCAGAGTGGGTGGGATGAGCGGCCCGGCCTTCCCGAGCGTTGGGTGTGCGCCCCGGCATGTGTGCGCCCTGCAGCCCCTGCGGGACGGCCGTCCGGACCGTGCATCGCTGTTAGGAGTGCCAGTCCAAAAAGGAGCGTGTCGCCCTGTTTTATGCCAGTCATGACGATACGTCGTAGAAATACTTGTCGTGAAACAATAGGAATGCTGCACAGGTCCTGTCTTGTAGTGAGAAATCAGAGATTCGTCCCTCTTCCCCTGTTTAAAAGGGGAAAAGATCATAAAAGTAATGGTTCTCATGACAGAGCCCCAGGATTACTGCATAGCAGAGTATCCATCTCCAGCGTTCATCTTTCTCTTATCCAGCAGCAATCATGTCAACATAACAGCCAGCCTTAATTCACCCATCATGCCTTTGTGTTTGTGCAGGGGATCCCGAGGTCTCCAAGGTGGTAGCTGATAAAACCACAGTCCTCAATGACCCTGTGTTAGCAGGCTGTCCACCAAATATTTTCACAGGCTGCAAGAAGCTTCCAAACATGAGCCATAACAAGCCAGCGTGCTAGGGACTGAGAATCAGCATGTCGAGCCCATCTCAACCATTAAGACCAGTGGCAGGTGCAAAAAAGAATTGGATAAGGTTGTAGATCCCAGATCTGCAGCAGAGAAAAGTGGAAACGGGACAGCAGGCAGCAAGTCCTGGAGACCTGGATCTGTTGTCTCAAGCAGGGTTTGACTCAGTGCTCCCTTGGTTGGCAAGCCATGCAAGATGCATGCTCTGGCCAGCACACTCCAGAAGTGCCTGAAGGATTCTGGTGGCAGGACACTTGGGCAGGAACCTCAGAAGGCCAGTCCTACAGAAGGAGAGACTGCAGAGCTTTGTGAGAAGGAGAGCAAAGCTTCCAAAACCTTCAAACTGGCTTTCCTACAGCATGGGGGGAAGGGCTTACTGAAGGGCCCCGAGTGGCAGGAGGAGTATATACAGCTGGTGGAGGATTACTCTGGCAGTCCAAGCACACCCTAAAATTTCTGTCCCAAAAGGAGATGATCGAACACATGTGGTGCTTCAGCGAGTATGATAAAGCCATCATGTGGCTCTGCCACCCCAAGAAGCACCACTTTGTCCACCTTGACCACAAAGCCCCTCCTGTGCACAGAGTGTGGCAAGAGCTACAGTTCAGAAGGGAGCTTCAAGACCCACGGGTTGACTCACGGGTTGGGGCTGTGTGGCCATTCCAGTGCACCCAGTGTAACAAGGTTTGCTGCCCCAGAGGAGAGATGCAGGAGCACCAGGCCCTGCATACTGGCCAGCACCCCTTGTCCTGCCAGCAGTGTGGCAAGGCCTTTGCATGCTGGCTCTCTCTCTGCACGCACAGGGAGATCCATTTGGCTGCTGGGACTGGCCCAGCTGGTCCCAAGTGTGTGGCAGTGTGCCATATGTGGGTGTCACCTGGCCAACTCCAGCTCTTTGTGTACCCACATGTGCTTGCACTTGCACCTGCAGGCAGTGCAGCAAGTCCTACACCCTGGCCACTAAGCTGTGGTGCCATCCGAAATCCCACCTGGCTGGCAAGCCCTGCAAGTGCGAGCTCTGTGGCATGGGCTACGCCCTTCCCCAGAGCCTTGTGCACCATGTGCTCACCCACAAGGTGGTAAAAGGACTTTGAGGAACTCGCCACTACAGTGGCCTCACTTGCTGTGGGCCTACCTCAGGCAGCAAGGACGAAGCCACAGAGAAAGGGCCAGCAGGGGGGGCTTATAGCAGGGCTCACCCTGCTCATGGTGGAGGTGCTGAGGCCAGTGAGTGAGGCTGAAGTGCTGACCTCAGCCAGCAGTCACTGCATTGCTACTTACCAGTCTAAAAGCAGATCCCAGATCCTGGGGCACATGGGACAAAAGCTATGTGTCCACCAGCAAATGATATAATCAAAATCATCCTCTCCGAGCTTGAGGACAAAAGCATTATGGTGCAGGATGAGGCCTCACTGAGTGATGTGGCCATCATCCAGGAGGGGATGGGCTTCAGGAGACATGGCAAAAGTGGTAGAGGTCATGACTGATACCTGGCTGTCCCAACATGCCCTGGCTGGTCTTCTGTACTTATAAAAACAAGGTAAAAAACCAAAATAAAACCTAGCTCTCTCATCTTTCTGTTAGCAACAAGCAACAAGGCCCTGTGGTTCAGCATTAGCAGTCTTGGGGTTAACTGCC